TTGATGACACGGGCGTTGCGCTCCACCACCGAGATGCCGTAGGGCATGCGCTCAGCCGGGCGGCCCTCCGGCGTGGCCGCGCTGCGGGGCGAGCGCCCGCCCTCCGAGCTGGCCGTGCTGACGCTGTGAAACTTGACGGACACGATGTCGGAGCTGGCACGGGCAAAATGCTCGGCTCCCATGTCCCGCACCTCCTCGGGGTCGAGGCCGCAGTAGTTGAAGAAGCGCTCCAGGTCGGCGGTGGCCCGCGAGAAGCGGTCGCTCAGGTCCGACTTGGAGCGGTGCAGCAGGGTTTGCCGGCGGGCGCTTTCGGGGCGGCTGGGTGAGCTCAGAACCGGCGTTGCGGGCGCTCTGCAAGGGGAGGGCGACGACGGCACCCGTATTCCCGGCACAGCGGGAGGCAGAGCCCCGCAGGGCCGCACGTCCACCCTGCGCACCGCCACGGTCCCAGGGGGTCTGGGAGCGGCGGGGCTCCCCGGTGCCTTGCCGACCCTACTGGTGTTCATCGCCTCCGCCGCGCCGTGCCGCTCCCCGCCCCGCGGGCTCTCGGCTTTGGGGCTGTCGCAGCCGTTGATGAGGTGGTTGAGGATCTCCAGGTTGAGAGAGGTCTTGGCCCTGCCTGCTGAGCGCGGTCCCGGCGTCGTCTTGCGGCTGGGGGTGAGCATGGCGCGGCGCACGCCCGGCACGAAGAGCGGCTGCTTGAGCAGCGGCGGCTTCACCGGCTCCTGCCGGGTGCTGGCGACCTGCTGGCTCTTCACGTACTTGGCCTTATCGGCCTCCAACCTCTCCACGGCGCTGGGTTTTCGGGCGGCCGGCTCAGCTTGCCGTCGGAAATACTCGGGTCCCTTGTTGAGGATGCGGATGGGCATGGCCGAGGTAAAAGGGGTTCTCACCGCCATCCCTTTCATGGCATCGCCGGCGTGCAGCGCCTCGACCGACATCGTGCGGGCGGCAGCGGGGCCACGCGCCGCAGGCTGCGGGGGGAGGGAACCGCAATGAGGGGCGGCTGCGGGGGGCGGCGGTGACAACCCCCTGCCCGCACCCCGTCCCCGCAGGCAGGCGGACAAAGGGCCGAACGCTGCGCGGGGCGTGCGGTGCCGCGCTGTCTGCGCCGGCTGCTCCGGGCTTCCTATTTCAAGGCAGGGACCACGCCTCCGGCTGCGTCCCCGAAACGAAGCGCGGCCAATCCGCGGTGCAAGCCTGCTTCAAACGGCACCACGGCCAATGGGGCCGCGGGGAGGGCACCCCGACACTGGGGTGAGGGGAGCCCCAGGAAGGGCTGCTGCTCCACAGTGATACCCGCTGCCCGGGGTGCATGGGGTGTTCCGCTTGCCCCAATCACCCACCAGCCCTCCGCGCTGGGACGTCGGGCCCTGCTTCCTGCAGCCCCCCCCTGCTCAGCCCCAGGAGCAGTTTCCCCCCTGCGGTGCACCCCCACCCGCCTCCTTCACAGAGAAAAAAGGAAAATGCCAACATGCAAGCGGCCCGCCTGCCTGTCCCTATGGTCCCCTGCCATTTGGGGTAGGGCAATGTGTGCAGGTCCCAGGGGCGGAGGTACTATTGCTCCTGCACACCCCTCTCCCACTGTGGGCCACCGGAAAGCACCCGGGGGTTCCCAGCCGTGCTTCCTCAGCCCGCGTTCTCCAGCAGCCAGGAACCCCGCGCCCTTGGGGCTCTGCCAAGCACAGCAAGCACCCGCCCGCCCCAACGGTCGTGCAGCAGCAGCAGCCCGCACACGGAGCGCCTCAACGCGGCCCCGTGTTCCCCACCCCAGTGCCATCAGCAGCCAGGAGCTGGCACCCACCAACCTCTCCTGAGCCGCTTTGGGAAGCCCCCAAGGTCCCCGTCTCCCCCAGTTTGGGGCTGTGCCACTCACCCGACCAGGCGGTGCTCCAGCACCGGGGTCACTGCAGCTGCCCAGCGCAGCTCCCCCAGCCCCACGCTGCCCAGCTTAGGGCACAAGGGAGCCCACCGGTGGGCACGGCACAGCCCCGCTTCCTCTCTCCCAGTGAGCTGCCGCCACCTGCGGCCGCTCACCTCCTTGCTCAACTTCCTGGGTACAGCCCACAATACGGCATCGGCTGCAGGCGGTGAGCTGGGAACAGGGCAGTGCAGGGCACCGATGTCCCCGCCAGGCAATGACGGGGAAGGCAGGGCCCCACCGCTGCAGCCGTGCTGTGCGCTCAGGGGCAATGAAGCATGGAGGGAAGGTGCTCGGGGGCAAGCAATGCTGTGGGCTCCAATGTGGGAAATCACCATCAGCCTCCCCAAGGCCCTGCGTCACCCAGCCCTGATGGAGAAGGGACACGAGGGTCTGACTCACGCAGCTCTGGATGCTTTCTGGTGGTGTGCACTGCTGGAGCACAGCACTCTGCCAGCAGCCACCCTGCACCCTGTGCCATGCACGGGAAGGCTTCCATAGAGAGCATCTGCTGGGCACAGGGATGGATGTGCAGAGCCCCCCAGCAGCTGGCAGTGCTCAGGGTGGGCTCCTGTCCCTGTCAGCAAGGTCAGCCTGGCCGGACACAACCTGCTGTTCCACATTCCTATGGATGGAGAGCTGCCAGCCTGGCATGGCTGCCCCAACCCGCACTAAGCTGTCCTGCCACAGCCCCGAAAGCAAAATGACATTATCAGCTGATCTGAGTGGAGCACGGCAGTCCAGGCACTGTGGCTGGCACCCAGCTTGCCATGCTCAGCCACAGTGACCCAGCACCCACCTCCGCCACTTACCCACCTCTGTCCTGTGCTCCCTGGCCTGGCTCAGCTGCTGTGTCGCTGCTCCCTGTGCTCGTCTCAGTGTCCTGGTGGCCCTGTGTCCTCTGCCTCCCTGCTCCCTACAGTGTAGCTGGTTTCAGGGTGCTGGAGCAGGTCTGTGCACTGCAGGGCGGCTCACGGTTCCGTCTGAGTCACCGCTGGTTGAAGACGCCCTCCGAGGCAGCCCAGCACTCAGATGGGATCAAAAACACCTCTCCTTGCCAGCATGTGTGCACAGGCACAGGGCTTTCTTCCACGCCAGGCTGCACTTTAATTGTGGCTTCATCACAAAACGTGGCCGTGGCCGGTGACGTCCTGGTGTGGGAGCTCAGCCGGCAGCGCCGGTCGGGCAGCATAGAGGTACCCACAGTTTGGTCAGTGGGGATGGAAAAGCACTGCTGTGTTGGCACAACTGGAGCACCAAGCACTGCAGGTGTCAGAATGCTCCTGGACATCCCCTGCCTTCACCAGGACAGGGAGCAGAGCCTTCTCAAAGCCTTCCCAAGGGGACAGATCCCTTGTACACCCACCAGCCCCAGGTCACCGCCAGCCCCTGGCGTCCTACAGTGCCAAAGTCCAAAACGCTTCTGTGCTTAAAACAAAGCAGCCCAACCAATGGCATAGAATGAGGTGACAGAGCAGAGTGAGGTCACTGAGTGAGGCTGCTACCTGCACACAGCCCAACTCCTGGGGTAGGAGCAAACACAGCACGCACAGTCAGAACTCAGGGAAAGCAGCGCATTTTTCAAACTGTTCTTGGAAGTGAGACAAGGAGCTGGAGGGGGAGCAGGGCTGGATGAAGCTGGGAAAACAAACAGCCCCAGCTCGGAGCCGCCCTGCGCTTGGGTGATGCTTCCAGCAGAAGGTGGACCTACATGATGGCTTCATCTGGCAAAACACTGCCTGGTGATGCAGAGCCATGGGCATCTGCCCGCTGAGGGTGGCCAGGCTGTGTACCCCCATGGCAGGGGATTGGTGCAGGCTGCAGGCAGGCAGCTGGTGCTGCCCAGGCACGCTGGCTGCTTGCACTCAGCAGGGCGTTGCAGCCTCGCCCTCCCCAGGAGCACCCCGGGATGGTTTTGGGGAGGGCAGCCCAATGCAGGAGCACGCCCTGAGCACCCGGTTCAGCACCCATCCCGCAGCCTTGGGGTGGATGGGTGCTGGGGCCGGCTCTGTGCTCGCCTCCCACGGGTGCTTGGGGCTGGCTCCCTGCACGTGTAGCTTCCAGGACCCCCCAGGAGTGAAATGCAGCTAGGAAAGTGCAAAAGAAAAAAAGATCTCAGAGGCCAAATCCTCCCTGTAAGTGTTGGGTGGGGAGGGCTGTGGATTCCTGGCATCACACCACAGAGCTGCAGCTTCATGGCACAAGGTCCAGCCCAGAGGTGTTGGCTCACCTTAGCCCTCCCCAGTGCTGGCAGCTTCCACAAGACCTTCCTCCTGGCTCCATGCTCATTTTGATGGGTGCTAATTCCAGGCTCCTATCACCACCACTCACCCAGACAATGCTTCAAAGAGCTTTGGAGCTGGGAAATGCCTATGTCCTGACCGAGGCGAGCCACCAACCGCTCCCTGCCTCAGTTTCCCTGATGCTGAATGGCTGTTCTGAGGTACAGGGAGCTCGCTAGAGACCATAAGGACGAATGAGGAATGCTCTCGTGCACAGCCTCACCTCATGCCCATCGACTGGATGCTGCCATGCCCATCCCGTCGTGCACAGAGTGCACATCCCTCTGTGCACATCCTTGCAGACAGCAGCCATGCTCAGGGCCAGAGATACACTGTGCTCGGGTGCAGGGGATCCAACAGATGGGGACGTGCCGGGTGTGAGGGCTTTGTCTGAGCAGTGGCGGCTGCACTCGGACCCGCAGATGGTGGAAGGGCGGCTGTGCTGGGGCCAGGGCCGTGGCCGCAGCCATGCGAGCGCAGTGCCCTGGGGATGCGGCCCCTTTTGTTGGGCTCTCACCTCTGGCAGAGGCCCCTTCCCCAGGCGCCCCTCGCCAGCTTTCAACTTTCAACTTGACCTGCTCCATTCACATGGAAATGGGATGCAAATGGAGACGGGAGCTGTGAGGAGGAGGAGAATGGAAGGGGAGGAAGGGGCCATGGGCAGCGACCCGCTGTTGGTCCCTGCTTTCTGGCTGGGCTTCCCAGTAAGGAGGTACCATCTGCATGACAGGGCCTCCTCCAGTGGGAAAACTGGGGTCCCACTGGTGGGTTGCACTCCTTACCAGGGATCCCCAGTGTGAGAAGGGCCTGTGGAATCAGGGATGGAGCCCCACTCTCATCACCTGCTTCTCCCACCCAAGAGGCCCTGCTGCATTCTCACCCATGCTGGACATAGCCTTGCATTTGGAGACACGGGGGGAGCTCCTGGTGGGCCGTTCGCCTGCCTGATCCCAGCACAGTCCCATGGCCGAGGACCGCTCGGTGACCAAATGTTACCATCTGCCTTGGGGCCTTTGCTTGCATCTGCCGGGGTGCAGAGGGGCCGGGGCTCAGCTGCCGTGCGATGCAGCATGGGGTGGGGGGCGGCCCCCCCCCGGCACAGCAGGCAGCACGTGTCAGCTGGGTTGGGGTGAGAAGCGTGCAGCAGCACTCGGTCCCGTGCCCATCAACCCTTTGTGCCCCCTGGCCCCCGTGCCACAGCCAATTAGTCCTGGGTTCGAGTTCCTTTGTGCTGCAGGATGAACAAGGCACAGCCGCTGTCCCCTTGCTGCCCCCGTCCCCACAGGGAGCAGGGGGCTCAGCTGTATCAGCCCCTGTGCCTGGTGCCTCCTAGCAACACAGGGCACACTATGCAGAACCCCAACACGCCCCAAAGCCTGAACAACCAGCCTGTAGCCCATCTGGGGACAGCGGGGGCACCACTGCTCTAGGTGCATGGGGTGGCTGCAGGGCACAGAGGTGCGGGGCACAGGCAGGGCAATAAGGGACAGGCAGGGCATTGCACGAGGCAGCGCGGTGCAGCCCGCTCTCCCAGCGACACCCAGTGGGTGCTGGGGGAAGAGCCGCCGAGGGGGGAGCTGGGTGCTGGGATGAGCCTTTGCCGGGCTGTGCTGCCATAGGGCCAAGCTTGCTGTGCCCTCTGCAGCCCCTGCCAGCTCCTGAGGGGTGCAAGCATCACATCTGCCAGCTTGAGGCACGTTTGGGCACCTGGTCATGTCCCACAGCCACCGTGCACCCTGTGCTGGCTGAGCAAGGCTGGAGGAGCGTTTGTGCACGATGCACACCTGCAGGCCACATTCTGTGTTCCCAGGGCAGGCAGTTCAACCCGCAGCCCTGCAGCCATCCATCCCAGACAGCACCGCACGGTGACATTTGCACCCACAAGGTGCATCCTGGTATAGGTGGGACACAGTTCTTTTGAGGACAAGGGCAAAGTCCGTGTCACAGCCAGGAATAACTGCCGGCACCCGGCCAAGGCAGGCTGTGCAGGTTCAGCGACTGCAGGGAGCACCTGGCATTACAGCCAGGCAGCAGCACGCTGGGGCTGACCCTGGTGGTATGTGGGGACGGGAGGGGCTGGGCTGTCCTTTGGGGGCAGGGATAGAGCGGGTGGGGGCACTTTGAGCACTAGGGCTGAGTTTGGAAGTCTCAGCCAGCACCTGGAGCTGTGGGGGGGGAAAGGGGGGAGTGAATGGGACCAAGAGGCTGTGCTGCTGCCAAAAGTGGGGAGCTGGGTGTGCTGGGAGGGGGGGCTGGTTGGGAGGAGGGAGGGGTGTTCCTGAGCCCCTCCAGCTGTTCCTGGTGGAATGGGATCACAATGAGATGGCTGCAATCACAGCTGCTCCCTCTGCCCCCCAAAGCACAGGGATCTGGGAGTTCCCTTGAGAAAAAGACGCTCGCCCACCCGCCTAAAACCCTCAGCACGCTACTTTTTATTCATCATTACGACTTTGTCTCATCCCACCCCCTCCAACAGCCGACCTGCCGCTCACGTACCCACCCCCCCTCCCTCCCCCAATCCCCAGGACCCGCTGGGTCCTCCAGCCCAGGACTCTTGGACCAACAACACAGCGTCAGACCCACCGCCGAGCAGGACAGCGGGACGGCGCTAGGTCACGTGACTCCGCTCGGTTCCCCACGCCCCGGGGAGGAGGAGAGGCTCAGTCCGCCGGGAGCAGCACCCGGCGCTCCGCACGCTGCCACCCATCTGCATCCGGAGGCGGTCACGTGGCCGGCTGACGTCACCGCCCGGCAGCCCGGACTCGCTGCGCCGCGTGCCGCTGGCTGCCCGTCCCCCAAAGCGCAGTGAGTTCCGAACGGGGAGATGCCCCGAACGTCACCCCGGCACCGGTCCGACCGGTCTCCCGTTTCTTCCTTTTTCCCTTTTGCTCCGTAACGAAAAGTCCCCACACCTCCTTGCCAGGATGAGGTCATCCGGCGGGCGGCTCCGGCCCCACGAGTCCGGGTTTCCTCCACCGGGACTCAGCACAGCGCTGGGGGTCACCCAGCCCGCAAACCCCCCCCCACCCCCCCATCATCCCCACCGCGGGGCTCGGGGCCGCGGGGGTCCCCTGTGCTGGGACGGGGCCGGGCGGGCAGCAGGTGCTCGGGGTGGGCAGGAGCTGTGCGGGCTGAGTCAGCCCGCAGGTATGAGCCGGAGCCTGTTTGCAGGTGGGGCCGCGGGGCCTTTCTGCCCCACCGCCGCCGGAGCCTGCTGCAGTCAGCGGGGGGCCGGCGGGAGGAGAAGAGCTGCTGGGCGCTGCCTGCGGATGCGGAGGGAAGGGCGAGGCCTCGGGTCCCAGGAGAGCGGCTGCGTAGGATTCACAGCTCCCCAGGTGAGAGCCAACAGTGCCTCAGGCTATATCATGCCGTGCCATGCCGTGCCAGGCTGTGCCATGCTGTGCCATGCCGTGCCAGGCTGCGCCATGCTGTGCCATGCCGTGCCATGCCATGCCAGGCTGTGCCAGGCCTTTCCGTGTCCTGCCAGGCCATAATAGTCCATTCTAGGCCATACTATGCTAGGCTGCGTTAGGTCATGCCAGGCCATGCTATGCTGTGCTAGGCTGTGCCATGCTGTGCTGTGCCAGGCCATAATAGTCCATGCTAGGCCATGCTGCTCTAGGCCGTACTATGCCAGGCTGTGTGAGGCCATGCCAGGCTGTGCCATGCTAAGCTGTGTTCTAGCTCAGCTCCAGCGCACTACCTGGTTCCAGTCTCTGTGCCCTGACGAGGCACAATGGGTGCCTCAGGCAGAGCAGGGGGCCTTGTGGGGCACTGGGGGATCTCCGTGGTGGCACAGCGCCTCTTGCTGCTGGCTAGGCTGTGCCACTCTGCCAGTCCTGTGCTCACTGGGCGCTGCAGGAGAAGCAGCTGGAGCTGTTTGTGGGAGAGGGGACATAGGCAGCATCTGTGGGGGCCTGGGAGACAGAGCTCCACAACTGAATGAAGCTTCTCCCCACAGCACAGTGGCAGCCGGCCCTGAGCCATGGCGCTGCTCACCCACCTTCTTGCCTGTGCCTTTGGCATGGGCTCCTGGATGGCCATCAATGGGCTGTGGGTCGAGCTGCCGCTGCTGGTGACGGTGCTGCCAGAGCAGTGGGACCTGCCTTCCTACATCACCATCATCATCCAGATGGCCAACGTGGGGCCGCTCTTTGTCACCCTCATGCATCGCTTCTGGCCCGGCTCGTTGAAGGAGGTGGTTGTTATCTATGTGATTGTGTCTGTGGGCATCGTGGCCTGCTTGCTGCTGGCCTTCCTTTGGAACTACACGTCCCCCATTGCGGGGACCTCCCGTAGCACTGCATTCCTGATCCTCACCTTCTTCTTGGCTCTGGTTGACTGCACTTCCTCCGTCACCTTCCTGCCCTTCATGATGCAGCTGCAGGCCCAATACCTCACCACCTACTTCATAGGTGAAGGACTCAGCGGGCTGATCCCTGCTCTCATCGCCCTGGGCCAGGGCTCTGGTGTCTCCAGCTGTGCCAATGTCAGCCAGGTGGTCAACATCACCTCTGGCAACGAGACCACGGAGGGCACTATCTTCCAGATGGAGACCCGCTACCTCCCAGCCCGCTTCTCTACCCTCATTTTCTTCCTCCTCATGACTGCGATGATGGTAGTCTGTTTGGTGGCTTTCTTCTTCCTGACCAGGCAGCCCAAGGTATGGGAGCTCTCACAGCAGCAGTTGTGTCCCAGCACCATCATACTGAACTCCTTTGACCAGATCCTTGGGGATGATGCTGGCACGGGACGAGGCGAAGGCTACTCATGCCCAAAGAGCACCAAGCGGCCCATGGAGACCCACCCAGAGAAGGTCTCCTATTCTGTGGCCAAGCTTGCTTTCATCTACCTCCTTATCACTTGGGTGAGCTCTCTGACAAACGGGGTCCTGCCATCTGTGCAGTCCTACTCTTGCCTGCCATATGGCAACACCGCATATCACCTCTCGGCCACGCTCAGCTCCATGGCCAACCCTCTCGCCTGCATCGTGGCCATGTTCCTGCCCAGCAGGTACGTATGGGAGACCCAAAACTACCCCATTTTGGGGTGGTGGGTGTCCTCACGGTGCTCATGCCCTGGCATCAGAGACACCCAGGAAGGACAATGGGGCCAACATTGAGCCTGCTCACTGGGCAGCACACGCTGTGGGGCTGTGCCCCTCTCTGTGCCGGGGTGGCAGTGCTGACCGGTGTCACCTAACTGTCCCTTGCAGGTCCCTGGCCCTGCTGGGCATCCTCAGCCTGGCGGGCACAGGCTTCGGTGCCTACAACATGGCCATAGCAGTGATGAGCCCGTGCCCCCTCCTACAGCATTCCCAGTGGGGCAGCGCCGTCATTGTAAGTCTTTGGATCCCTCAAACCTCAGGAGGGGTCTCAAGGTCCCCACTGACCTCTCTCTCCTGTGCCACCAGATCCTCTCCTGGGTGCTCTTCACCGGAACGCTCTCCTACGTGAAGGTGATGGCTGGGGTCATCCTGCGGAGTCGCAGCCACAGTGCACTGGTGTGGTACGGGGCGTTGGAGCAGCTGGGATCCCTGCTGGGTGCCCTGCTCATGTTCCCCCTCGTCAACATTTATGGTTTCTTCCAATCCGCTGACTACTGCAGCCTGAAGTGCCCAGTATGAGCACAGCGTTCTTCTTGCATTCAAACAAATAGAAGGAGTTTGCTCAGCCCTTTGGCCTGTGCCCAGACCTGCTGCTTTCCACCTCGCCCTGCTGCACCGGGGGCTCAGCACCCTTGGGAGCAGTGTTTGTGTTTTCATTCCTGTTCTCCTCATTCTCGTGCCCATGCTGTAGCGGAGAGCAACTGCTGCCCTGGAACAAGGGGGGCTGCAGCCATCTTCAGAGTGTGGAGACAAAGGTCCCTCCTGGAAAACCAATAGCAGGAGACACAGACCCAATGGGATGGAAACCTTCCCAGGGAGCCCTTCTGGGGCTCTGGCAATGCTTTCTGCTCTCTCCCCACCACCCTGTGCCCCACAGCAGCCCCCGCTCGGTCTGGCTGTACCCAGGGGGGGCACAGAGCTGCAGCACAGCCCCGTGCCCACAGCCGTGCCATGAACAGCAGCACGAGGCTGTCACACGGGGTGGCAGAACTGTGCCACCTGGTACCCGACTGCACCTCGGCTGTGCCAGCAGGGGGTCCGGGGGGGTCCGGGGAGCAGCGTCAGCCCCCAGGCCGAGCAGCACTCGGTCGTCGCACGCGCCTGCGCCTCTTCCCCGGGGCACGAGGCAGCCGGGCCTTTGTCCCCGGTTCTTTGTCTGGCAATCTGCTCCCCTCGGGAGCAGCAGCGACAGACCCGCTCTGCTGTGCCTTAACGAAGCGGAGCAGAGCAGCCCCCGGCCCCGGCTGCGTCCCGGCCGCCTGCGGGAAGGACGCGGCTGGAATTGCTAATCGCCCACCGCCCCGCACGGGTCCCACGGCCTGAGCTGTGCACCGCGCATCCCCCGTTTGCAGGGGGAGCGTGGGGAGAGGGGCAGAGCTGGGGGCTGAGGAGCAGCGGTGGATGCGGGGACCCCGTGGGGAGGTTATCCCATCCCAAGAGCAGGGCGCATCCCGCATTCCTTGCAATGAGACCGCGAGCCAAAGGGACGCAGCCCTTCACCCCCCCCCCCGCGCCCCACATGAGGATGCTCCTGCCCATCCCAGACACGCAGGTCCCCAAAGACCCTCGCCCTGCACGGCCCCGCCAACCCCTCCCTCCCCAGCACGGCACAGGGGAACAATCGCCTCCGAGCCCTGCGAGCGAGCAGGAATTATTTCCATACAGCTGCTCGGGAAGGCAGGGATGGGGATGCAGCCATCACCCAGCCTCGCTCCGGGAGAACGCCCGGGCCTTTCTTCTGGCTCTCCCCCTCCCTGCCGTGGTGGGGGCAGGTTTGGGGGGGGCCCAGCCGCGCTGCAGTCAGCAATATTAGCAGAGCTCCGCAGGACTGATTGCAGGTTATTAACATACATTATCTCAGTCCCCTGCCTCTGAAAGGAGCCAGTTCCTATTCCCCCTCTCCCAGCCCTCCCTCCCCCTGTCTTTTACACTTAATTACCTCCCTTATTACACCACAGCCTGGAGAGAGAAAAAATCACAGGGCAGCGGGCAGGCAGGCAAGCTCGGCCCAACTAGGGCGTAAGTAATCGCCCGTTCTGCAAACGTGCCTTCAAGAAAAGTGATCGCACACACACAGATAAATAAATAAAGGAGCACAGGGCTGGGAGCCGGCGGCCGAAGGATGGAGGAGGTGCTGGGGCCGACCCCAAGGCTGCACCTCGGGGAGAGGTGACCTTGGACTTGGACTGATGTCAGGGTTGCACCGCAGGGCCAGATGGGGTTGGTGCTGTGGCCCCAGTGAGTGATGCTGGGGGGAGTGAGCCCCAGTGCTATGGGGGGAGCGGGGTGGGAGCCCCAGCCTGGGAACAGGAGTGGGGCGGGCTGTGGGGTGCCCCTAGGATGAGAGGTGCACTGGGCTATGGGATGCCATGGGCTATGGGTACCCAGGGCTATGGCACGAGATGGGCTATGGGATGCTATAAGACATGGGGTACCTGGGGTTATGGGGTGTCCTAGGCTATAGGATGCTGTGGGTACCCCAGCCTATAGGGTGCCCTGGGTTATGGGATGCTATAGAACATAGGGTACTTGAGGCTGTGGTGTAACATGGGCTATGGGATGCTATAGAACTTGGGATAACTCAGGTTAGGGGATATCCTAGGATATGGGGTGCTGTGGAACATTCCCTTGGTTATGGGATGCCACACAAAAGCAGTGAGTGTATGCTTGCTGGCACCACACAGATGCAGAGCAGAGATGCCCCCAGCTCCCAGCACAGATGAAGGAGAACATGGCCACCAGCATGCCACGGGCAGTAGTAGGATCGGGGTGCCCCATGGGGTGCTGCTCTTGTCCCCTGCGTGTGACACTGTATGGCCAGCCAAAGGGCATCATCAGAACCCCACACTGACCACCACTGGTGGGCTGCTGGGGGCTGAGTGCTGCAATGCTCTCAGTGCATCACAGGGCTTGGGGACAGCATGGCCTTTCCCTAGCTGCTCACAGAGGAGGGGGATGCTCAGAGCATAACAGGGGGAGCACTGATTTCAAAAGGACTGTAGAGCAAGGCGAGGCAGGCTGAGGTTCCAAGCTGGTGGCAGGGCAGGGATTCACAGGGAGCAGGTCCTTTGTGCTGGGTCCCCCAGCTCGCTGTGCCCCACAAGCCCTTTGTCACCCCCAGCTGGCACAGGGGCTTGCTCCAGAGCTCCCACTGTGGCTCCCAGCTCATTTTACAGGGCACTGGCCATGCAGTGAGAGCAGTGATGGGCAGCAGAAGTGCTCCAGCCAGGTCCTCGCTGTCACCTGCCAGCTTGGGACCATGGCCTGCCTGCAAGAAGGGCCTCATCCTGTTCCGGCGGGGTCTGGGGGGACCAGTCTGAGCAGCTGAACTGCGTGCTTGGTGCAGGGAAGGGAGGAGGGGGAGAGGGGGCTCCAGGAGGGAACAATGCTCCGCCACGAGCCCGGCTATTGTTGTGGGCTGCGAAGGTCACGGCACTTCCCCAGGGACAGGGATAGGGATAGGGACATGGGAGAAGGACAGAAGGTGGGGAAAGGGACAAGAGAAGAGGCATGGTGACAGGGGAAAGGGACAGCAGGAAGGGATAGGGGTGGAACAGTCGGACAGTGAAGGGCTGGGAAAGGGGAGCAGGAATGGGGACGGAGAACAAGGGAAGGAACAAGGGAAAAATAAAGGGGTCATCAGAAAGGGACGGAAGACAGGGATAAAGACAACGGAGAGGGACACGGAATGGGGTTAGGAACAAGGAACAGGGATGGAGATAGGGGATGGAACCGGGACAGAGAATGGGAACAGTGACAGCGCCTGGACCCCCGCCCCGTCATTCACAGCCCCGGGGGCTGGCGGCAGGGAGACAAAGGCAGCAGGAGGCAGCACACCCTCACCCCACCCCCCCCACCCCATGTCCCCGTGTGTCCCCATTGTCCGCGGCTGGGGGGGGTGGGACAGAGGGAAGCAGGGAGCGAGGACCCAACATTGCCACGACGCTCCGGGGGGCTCGGGGGGCTCGGGGAGGGGGGGCTCGGGGCGCGGCCGGGCGGAGCGGCCCCCTCCCCCCCGCCGCCTGCCTTCCTCCCCCTCCTCCACCTCCTCCCCCTCCTCCTCTCCTCCTCCTCCTCCTCAGCCTCCTCTCCTCCTCCTCCCCGGCGCCCGCCCCTCGCACTCCGCTCCCCGCTCCTCGCAGCCCGCACCACCGGCCCGGAGCGCAGCGCGGGGCCAGGGGCCGCCCCGGGCCGGGCCAGTGCCGGTACCGGGGCCGGTGGCGGTGCCGGTGCCGGAGCTGTCCAGTGCTGAAGGCTTCGGCCCGGCCCCGCCATGCCCCGCTCCTTCCTGGTGAAGAAGCTGAAGGCGGACGCGTTCCCTCTCGCCGGGGCTCCCGCGCCCCCCTACGCCCCCCTGGAGCCCCCCTACGCGCTGCCCGGCCCCGCTGCCGGAGATGGTGAGTGCGGGGCGGGGGGCTCCGGGGAACGCCCCCCCCACACCCCATTGTGTGCGCCCGACGGGGCAGCGGGGGGGAACGGGGGTACCGAGGGAGCGGGGCCGGGGGGCTCGGGGAGGGCAGGAGGAGGGCGGCGGGGGGGGTCTCAACGCTGCGTCCCGCGGGTCCCGTCCTTGTTCGCCTTTGTGGGTCCCCCCCCCTCCTCCCCAGCGCCACCAACCCCTGTCGAAGTTGGTCCTTGGGGACGCGGTGACAGCGGCAGTGCAGGTGATGGAGTCACGGCGGACCCCGCTGTCCCCGCGGTTGGGGGCAGCGAGGAGGGCTCCTTCCAGCGCAAGTTTTGGGGGGCACGAAGCAGCCGGGAGCGAGGCGGGAGGGTGGGGGGGCCGGGCTGCTCGCCGTGCCTGCGGCTTTCATTGTTCGCAGCCCCGCTCCCCTCCGACAGCTCCGCGCGCTCTGTCACCTCCCCGGGCACAATAGGGGGGTGGGGGCAGCCCCCTCCCTGGCACTGGGAGAGGTACGAAGGGTGGGCATGAGGGTGGCGGGGCCCCCAGAGCCACGAGCTTCGGGGTGACACCGGGCCGGGCTCTGTGCGGGTCACCTGCGCTCAGCAGAGACCCCCGACGGGGCGAGCCGGGGGTGTGCCATGGAAGGGGACGGCGATGGGGACGTTTTTCCCAGGTCACGGCTCGGCTGCTCCTGGAGCCGCAGGCTGCGCTGGGTGCAGCGATGGGCCCGATCCAGCCCCATGCAGCCAACGCTGCTCTGCGTGTCCTCATTTCTGCTGCCCAGCACAGGGGCACGGCGCAATGCCTACACAAGCCGGGGGTCCCCTTCTCCTCCCCATCCTATGGGGAGCAGCAGCTGGTGGGGGAGGGATGCACTGCAGCTGGGCAGAAGCTGCCGACGCTGCTCTCCTGGAAATAACCTTGCTGCATGCTTGGAGGCAGCGTGAGAAATTGCTGAGCAGAGCGCTTTCTGCACAGCCCGTGCGACCGCACTGTCAGCACAGCGCGGGCAGCGGGGGGGGCTGCACTGTGCCCCAGCCTCCCAGACCCCTCCCCACAGCAGTGCAGGGACCCCACAGCCTCAATGGGACAAAGCATGGGGCCCCGCAGCTGCAGCATTTACTGGGCAGCCCAGATGAGGGGGTCCCAAAGGTGGGAGGGGGGTTGCATTTAGGGGTATTTTGTGGGGTGGGGTGTGCATGCTGCCCCACAGTTATGCATCAGTGCCAGTGAGCCTGGCAGTGTGCTGAGCCCCCCAGCAGCCCCCACCATCACCATCAGCAGCAGGGATGCGTCCTCTGGAGCAGCTGGCAGGGGCCATTGTGCACAAAGCAGGTGACTGCCAGGACCAGTGTAGGGCAGCCTGGGTAGCCACGTGTCCCACTGTGTGTGCCCCGAGCTGCTGACCCAGCTGGGAGGCACTGGAAGAATGCAGTGCAGTGACCATCACATGCTGACATCAAAGGGATGGAGACACTCATGGCATTGCTCTGGCACAGGTCAAGAGTCAATTACCCAAAGCCATGAGCAGATCTCCATCAGTGTCACATGGGGTGGCACTGCCAGCATGGCCCTAAGCCCCCTCTGCTCCTGGGGCCCATTGGTCTCTGTCCTCAGTGTGAGCCCAGTGCCCTGGGTGTCACCAGTCCCCATGTGCCACGTTCCTGAGGGAGATGGGGTGACCTCTCCGAGCCCTTTTGTGCTCATCTCTGCTCTCTCACCCCGTTCCTAGAAATAGGAATAGAAACAGGGAGATGGGGATAGGAGCAGAGCCCACAACCTCTGCCTCCCATTGGGCCAGCACCCAGGGCAGGCTCATCCCTTGTGCACATGAGGAATCAGTGATGTGCAGGGCCAGTGACCGCTGGGTATTTTCAGCTCACTGCTGGGCAGAACCCAACCCAGAGGAGGATGATCCGTGTGTCGTCCCCGCAGGGTACCTACAGCACTGCCTGGCTCCCGCCGGCTACAACCCCGACAAGAAGCAGGGGCTGCCGCCGGCACCGCCAGACCCGGCCTACGCACCCGGCCAGGAGGAGTACAGCGACCCTGAGAGCCCCCAGTCCACCTTCTCCGCCCGCTACTTCAACGGGGAGGCAGCGGTGACGGACAGCTACTCCATGGACGCCTTCTTCATCACCGACGGGCGGTCGCGTCGGCGCGGGGAGAGCCAACGCCGCGGCAGCCACCGCCACTCCTGCCCCGAGTGCGGCAAGACCTACGCCACCTCCTCCAACCTCAGCCGGCACAAGCAGACCCACCGTAGCCTGGACAGCAAGATGGCCAGGAAATGCCCGACCTGCGGCAAGGCGTACGTCTCCATGCCCGCCCTGGCCATGCACGTCCTCACCCACAACCTCAAGCACAAGTGCGACGTCTGCGGCAAAGCCTTCAGCCGGCCCTGGCTGCTGCAGGGCCACATGCGTTCGCACACCGGGGAGAAGCCCTTTGGCTGCTCTCACTGTGGCAAGGCCTTCGCTGACCGCTCCAACCTGCGCGCCCACATGCAGACCCACTCCGCCTTCAAGCACTACAAGTGCAAGCAGTGCGAGAAGACCTTCGCCCTCAAGTCGTACCTCAACAAGCACTACGAGTCCGCCTGCTTCAAGGGCTCCGAACACAGCTGTGCAATAGGGAACTAGTCCCCGTGCCCCCCCCCCCCCCCCCCCCCCCCCCCCCCCCCCCCCCCCCCCCCCCCCCCCCCCCCCCCCACCGCACCCCCCCACCACCTCCACCCCTCCCCATCCTGGTGCCAGCTGCCGATTCGGGGCTGGAGGATGTTTCCCACATCTCCCACCCCCCTAAATAAAAAGGAGCCCCCGGCCCCCCGGAAGGGCTGGACGCAGTCCCTGCAGCCAGGCAGGTCTCTCTGCAGGGACTGCCCCGGGAGCATCGCCTGCACCCGGGCCAGACCTTCCCCAGCTCGCGATGCTCACCCTTATTTATTTAATTTATTCCTATTATTTATTTAGAGCTGCTGCTTCTCCTCCCAGGAACTACCGGGGAGAAAAGACACTCACCTGGTCCATAGCAAGGACAGGACCATGGGGCAAAGAGCCAGGCAGGACTGACGGACCCCACCCACCCCGCTGCCCCCACCCACATGGGCACAGCCCCTGGGGCAGAACCCGTACCCAAACTCTCAGCCCCTGTTGGGCTGCTCCCATCCCCTCTCCTCCCTGGCCAACCCCAGGCCCCTCTGCCCTCACCCCCCGCACACCCCAGGAGGGGTCGGTGGTGCCCGGGTGAGTCTATTTAATTGATGCTCTTATTTATATTATTTATTCCTTCTGCTTTTCACTATTTATTTGCCAAGACCGGAGGCGGATCGCCGTGCCCGGGGACACAGCCACGGGGACACGGATGGGGACACAGCCCCAAGAGACAGAACCACACACCGCCAGCTCCCGCTCTGCTCCCTGCACGGGGACGAAGCAGCGATTCTATGCAACCCCTGCCCCGCAGCGAGCCGCTCCTACCTCGGGCCTCGGCACCCAGGGGCTCAGCCCGGCTCTCCCTTTGCAGTCTTCCTGCTCCGTCTTCCTCCCACCGCAGTCTTCCTCCTGCCGTGCCCGTGGCTCCCAGGGTCATTTTGAGCCCCGTGGGCAGCCCGAGCTGCAGCATTTTTCGTGCGTCCCCTCGGGCAGCGCAGCGTGCGGGGCTGCCCCGTGTGTTATACTGTACATAGCGGATACCACAGCAATAATTTTTTCCGTGCATGATCGCTTTTCTTTTTCTGCCAGGTTTTGTATTGGACAGGCCGCGGTAAGAGGAGAACCGACCGCCCGCAGTATTACTTGTAATGCAATTCAGGGATATAAAAGGGACTTCTGCCACTACCAGGTGTGTCTTGGGCTGTTTGTGCACACGGAGGTGGGTGGGCAGCAGGTGTTCTGTGTACATCCTCAAAAGGGGAGTGGTGGCACCTGCAGTGCAAGCTCTGCAAATGGTGCTGCGCCCCAATAACGGCACTGCGCCCCAAGAACAGCACTGTACCCTAATAACGGCACCGCACCCCATTAACAGCACTGCACCCCATTAACGGCACTGCACCCCATTAACGGCACCGCATCCCACTCGCAGTTCTGCACTCCGCTTGCAAAAAACACCAGGGGGAGCAGCAGCAGCAGAGCACTGACCTGAAAGCAAAGCAAAGTGCAGAGTCCCGGTAGTGGGGTGGGGATCCTGGGGACTGCCCAGCTGGGATCACTGGGTGTTGCATCCCGAATCCACCAACGGGGTTCTGCTGTGCTGTCCTTCCTCATCCTCACCGTCACCAGTGAAGGGCAGAACGTGGGACACTGCCGACCTGGGATGTGACCCTGAGTCAGCACTGGGGATAGAGAACCGTGCAGCTGGGGCAGGGGGTGTACAGGGGGTCGGGACAGGACTGTGGGGGGCTCGGAACAAGGGGCGTGGGGGACCCAAATTTTCCCCAGAACCTCTCCACCACTGGGGACACTGATTCCAAGAAATGACCCAGAAATGTCCCAGAACATCCATTCCAGCCTGGAGCCGGACCCGGTGACCTCTGTTCCTTCTAATCCGGGATATCCCACAGCTCCACGAAGACAGACCCACGGCTGAAGGCCCCCCCCCCCCCCCCCCCCCCCCCCCCCCCCCCCCCCCCCCCCCCCCACTCCTTCCCCCCCTCCCCCTCGCCGCTCCCCCCCACCCCGTTCCATCCGTGCCGGTTCCACGCAGCTCCAGGCGGTGACCTCACTCTCCGATTCTCAGCGCACGGACCGAGGGCTGCTCAGCAACCCATCCTCGACGGCACCCCCGCCCTCGGGCCGCGTGGCCAACCAACCCTTTCCGCGGCCTCACCGTGACGCTGCAAAGCGCGGCGATGGCGGCGGGCGGAGGGCGGGCGGCGCTGCGGGGAGCGGCGCTGCGCGGGGCGGGGGGAGGCGGTGCGGGGCGCGGAGCGGCGGAGCGGCGGCCGGAGGTGGCGGCGGTGGCCATGGCTGAGGAAGAGGGGAACGGTGACACCGGGAGTATCCACACGCAGCACATCGCCGCCGTACACAACGTGCCCATGAGCGTCCTCATCCGGCCCATCCCCTCCGTGCTGGAGCCTGAGAAAGTGCGGAGTTTGGTGCGGACCCTGCAGGTGGGTGCGGGGACAAGGGGGGTGTGGAGACGGCGGGGTCGGGTGTATCGAGGGCTCCGGGGTGCCGGAGGAGTCGGAGGTGCCAGGAGGGTGCGGGGTCGAATGTGCTGAGGAGTTTGGGGTTCCGGGGAGCCCGGGGTGTTGGGGCTGTGCGGGGTCGGGGGGGTCATAGGTGCCGGGAGGGCGCGGGGTCGAATATGCCGGGTTCTATGAGGCGCGGAGGGTCAGGGTTGCCGAAAGGACCCGGGGTGCCGGGAGGGTTCGGGGATCGGGACAGCGCGGGTTCGGGTCGCCCCGGTTCGGGGTTGCCGGGGGACAGCCGAAGAAGCGCGCAGCAGCGCGGCTCTCTCCATCCTTCTCTCCTTCACCCTCTCTCCTCCCAGGAGGACCCCGAGCAGGTCCCCCCCATCGACGTGCTATGGATCAAGGGCAGCCAGGGCGGGGATTACTTCTACTCCTTCGGTGGGTGTCACCGCTACGCGGCGCACCGCGAGCTGCACCGGGACACCATCCCCGCCAAGATCATCCCGTCCACGCTCAGCGACCTCCGCACCTACCTGGGCTCCTCTACGCCTGACCTGCGCTGAGGCGGACCCCTCCCTCCCCTCCGGGGCTCAGCCGAGCACCGCCCCCGCCCCCGGCGCTGCGGTTGGGATGGGGTCGCGGGGGGGTCCCGGTGCCGGTGGGTGTCACTCGCGGCCGGGAGGTGGCGACCGTGTGCCGTGGGAACAGGGCGGGGAGGGATCGGACCGGGACATCCCGAACCGAGACATCTCCGAACCGGGATATCTCGAACCAGGACATTACGAACCAGGATATCTCCGAACTGGGAAATCCCCAAACCGGCGCGGTACCGAACCGGAGCGGCACCCAACTGGGCACAACTGGGCTGGAACATCTCTGAACCGGGAGGGAGTGGGTCGAGCTGGGGCACGTGGAACTGGGACAGGACAAAGCCAAAGCCAGGCACCACCGAAGCAGGGCACCGCTGAACTGGGACACACACAAACCAGGACAAACCTGTACCGGGGCACCCACCACCCCCAGCCTTCCCAGCGCCACTCCAGGCTCACCCTGGGCTGTGCCTGCCCCAGAGCTGCCTGCTCCATCCTCAGATGCATCCCACAGCCCCTCCTCCATGGGGTTGTCTCCAGAAGACACCCACTGCTGCTCTGGGAATAAAGGTGACCAACCCCCCTGGTCTGTATGCTGGTGCTGGGAGCAGCTGTGAGATGGGGCACAGGGACATGTGGGGTGGGGATGGACGCTGTGCTGGTACCCAATGCTGTGTCAACGGACAGGCACTGTGCTGGGAGTTGGGTGCTCTGATGGGGACAAATAGGGGGTCAGTCCATGCTGCCTTAGGATTGACTCTACTCTGCTTCTGAGTGCAGTTGCACCATGCTGGGATGCTGTCAGCTCTGCAAATGCCACGTCTTCACCCCATGTGCAAGCTGGAAAAACCACACTGAGCATCCCACAGCTATCCGGCATCCCTTTGAGCCAGGAACCAGGGAGGGGAAAGGCCACTGACTCACCCCATCACACTGTGAGTCAGCAGCAGAACTGGGAAAGGAACTGCGTCCGGACACTCTGCCTGCTGGCCACACTCCATGCCAGCTGGATCCTGTCCTTCAAGGGCAGGAATGGGCCAGGGCTGGGATCTGGGAGGAGGGCACAGGCAGCTCTGCGGGGGTTTGCAGCCATCCCTTTGCACAGCAGCACGCACGGTGCTGCCTGCTGCTCAGGGCACGCTTTGCTTCCACTGCGTTTCCGCAGGAAGGGCCGGCTGGGCTGGGGGCTGCCAGGGCAGGGGCTGGGGGTGTGCACGGCCGGGCTGCATGCGTCGCATCAAAGCTGCCTCCGCCGGGAGGAAGCCCTGCGAGCGTGCGCGGAGAGAGCAGCCCTGCTGCACGGCTCCCTCATGGGCCGTAAATTTCTGCGAAGAATTGTGGCGTGCTAAAAAGTTTCCTCTCCATAGAGCGTGGGGGGAGGGATGAGGTGGCAGCTCCTTTGGCAATACAGATCACCTCGCACACAGAAATGGGACCCCGGGGCAGGGAGGGGATTTTGCCCAGCCCCAGGGCACGTCACAAGCATGGGGATCTCTGCAGGGCTCTGCATGCCCCATGTTCCCAGGGGAGCACCCCCAGTTCCCAACTGGCATGGGGGTGAGCCTTGCCAAAGCCAGCCATCCCTGTGTCTGTCCACCCGTCCATCCGTCCATCCGTCCATCCATCCATCCCTCCACCTGTCCCCCTTCCCTCTGCCTGACCTGCAGGGTCTCTGGTGTCGCCGGCTGACAGCCGATCTCGGCTGCCTCCAATCCATTCGTTCCAGGCCAGGAACAAAGGCGCTTTGTGGGCTCCCTCCCGCTCCGTCTGGGCTGGCTGGGAGGGTCCCAGCTCCGGAACTGGGACAGACTTCCCCGCACGACAGCCGTGTAATGCCTTCCAGATCAGCCCACAGGTACAGCCCCTGTGAGAGGCCCAAGCACCCTGCAATGCCCCTGGCACAGCCACCAGCACAGGGAACCTGCCAGGACCGCTGCCATCAGTCCCATTCCAGCATCCCCATCCCGCTGTCCCCATCCCAGTCACTCAGGTACAGACCAGAGGCAGCTATTGATAGTGCAGGTCTCTCCATATTTGTAAGTAGAGTCAGCATTCCCTTGGCTTGCAGAGGAAGTGGGATGGGATGGAGTGAGATGGGATAGGCTGGCATGGCATGGCATGGGGATGGTACAAGATTGTTAGGTCAGGCTGGCACTGCTTTGCCCAGCCTCAGGCAGGGTCAGCTCTTTGTCCTGGCAGCCACATGGTCTGCACAGCCATGGGGTCTGGAATCCATTTGCCTCGCAAGAAGCAGTGTTTTCCCAGCAGGACTGGAGAAGCACAGAGTGGCAGGGAGCAGATCCGGCCCCCTGTGCCATCTGCTCTCTGTTTATTTTCTTACACTTAAGTATCACCTCTCAGATAAACGCTCTTCAGTGTGGGAGGGCAGGGGGCATTTCCCAGCACACAGGGGGAAAACCCAGCCCTGGGGGATGCCAGCTCCCTATTCTAGCCCCTCTTTGGGTTGTGCTCATCTACGGCACACAGCATGCCATACATGGGGACACACGTCCTGTCCTGCACACCAGCTGGGCAGCACAGGAAAGCCAGGCAGCTGCCTCACGTCCCTGTGCCTCAGCAGCATCCGCTGCTCCCTGCAGCCTCCCCCCACTGCACAAGTGCACACACATGAACACACATGCACACCAACACCCCATGCATGGTGGTGCCCCCAGGCAAGCCATGCTGCCCTGTGCAGCCCAGCATGGCTGGGAGCCCAGGGCTCCCCCCACTCGTCCCTGTCAGCTGGTGGCCATGTGTGGCGGCCGCACCTGAGTACACAGCCGCTGCCATCCGTCTTGCTGCCTGTCAGTGCTGGGGCGGGGGGCCCCAACTCGCACCCAGCAGGGTGCACAGGGGCTGCCTTCCTCCTGCCCCCCCTCCAGCAGCCAGCTCATCATCCCTCTTTGCAGGAGGCTGCGTCCCCCTGGGGGACCGTCCTCTGCTCCGTTGGCTGCAGGCACCTGCCTGCTCCTTGCACCTCGTGCCCAGGGTCTGTCTGTCTCCAGCTCTGCTCAAGGGACCACTTGCAGAAGATGAACTCTGGTCTGTGCCCCAAAGAACTGAGGGGGGGGCCTCACAGTCCACAGCTCAGTGAGGGGCTGTGAACATGGAGCTAGCAAGGGAAATGTACTTGTGTCTACCTAGAAGCCCAAAGCAGCCCCCAGCCTCACAGGCTGCACACCTCCAGCCCCACAGTTCCCTGACTCGGCCCTCACCCCCCTGCAGTGTGATTTACGGGCTCTGCACAGGAGGACAAATGGTGAAGGCAAACAGGGTCAGGGCCCCGCAGCAAGGGGCAGGGGGGCCTTTTGCTCCTGAGGGGACACACGGTCCTGTTACACATGAGGACAGCCCCGGGAGGGACATGGTGACATGCCATCACATGGCTCTGTGCTCCAGGACCCAGCCAGCTACCCTACCCTGGGATGTGAAGTGTGTCCATTGTGCCCATGGACACCATTCCAAGCCCCCAGCACATCCCCTTTTTGCCCCCATTGCTCTGAGCATCCTCCTGCATCCTCCCTGAGTGCAGGGAGGGGGAGGCAATCACTCAGGGAGAGCAGCCCTTGGGATACCGCAGCTCTGCCGCTCCAGGGCTCAGCTCTGCAGGAAGGGACTTGGATTTTCCATTGCTGGCACACACCTTCCTCCAGCAGAGGAAGCGCTCCTGGCATCCTGGCAGCACCTTGTTGTGGTGTCAGGGCCAAGGTTTCCATCCTCATCCTGCAGCAGCACAAAGGGTGCCATCTCTGTGCACAAGGGGCTGCAGGGCTCAGCCTGGCCACCCTTGCCCCAGCAAGGCAGTGCATCCCCTGGCCAAGCACTGCTGTCCCCTCCATGGAAGAAATGTGTGCCAGCACTCCAAGAGCCACCCCTCTCCCTACCTCATCCCATTTCCTGCGCCCTTTGTGCCACTCACTGCAACCTACCGGTGGCTGAGGCCACGCAGGGCTGAGGACACACTGGAGACGCTGCATGTGGCACCTCTCCAGGGACTGTGGCACTCCCTACGGCCTGGTCATCAGTCCATGCCATGGTTTGGTACAACAGGCGGCACAACCGGGTCGTGTCACCGTGCAACCACAAAGCAACCTTTGCTTGGGGCCATGCACCGGAGCGCAGCCAGGCCAGCAACCAGCTGCAGGGGGAATCGTGATTTACACGGCCGGGCTGGGGCTGGACGCTGGCCGCCTGCCTGGCCCCGAGCCGGGGGCCGGCTGGGGGTGGGCTCCAACACCAGCCCCTCCCCGGCCGTATAAATCACGATTCCCCCCGCAGCCGTCCGTCCCAGCCCCGCTCGGACGCAGGAGCGGAGCAGCAGGAGCAGCGTGTTAGCGGGGAAAGGCTGCCCGCAGCCCGAGGGCTGCCCGCGGCGGGGCGGGGGGCTCCGGCCATGGCTTTTACCATGCTGCGTCCCATGGCTGCCCGCGTGCTCTACCCCGACATCGGCATGCTGTCGGAGGACGAGGAGAACCGCAGCGAAAGCGACACGTCGGACCAGTCGTACGGCTGCTGCGAGGGCGCGGAGGCACGGCGCAAGGTGCCCAGGAAGACGGGGCCCATGGTGATGGTGAAGCAGCGGCAGGCGGCCAACGCGCGTGAGCGGGACCGGACCCAGAGCGTCAACACCGCCTTCACGGCTCTGCGGACCCTCATCCCCACCGAACCCGTCGATCGGAAGCTGTCCAAGATCGAAACGCTGCGCCTGGCCTCCAGCTACATCTCGCACCTGGCCAACGTGCTGCTGCTGGGCGAGGGTTGCGAGGACGGGCAGCCCTGCTTCAGTGCCATCTACGGGGGCAAGGGCGATCTGGACAGCAAACAGCCTCGCAGCATCTGCACCTTCTGCCTCAGCAACCAGCGGAAAGGGGTGAGTGGGGGGGAGGGTCAGCACAGCCCTGGGATCGGGAGTCTGGGAGGATCGGCACGTCCCCGTGAGCTCCGCACGGGCTCCAGCTCTGGCCCCCGCTGGAGGCTTTGGCAGCTCCCGGCCAAATGCTGCTCAGAGCTGCACGCCCACAGTCCTGCTGGCGTCAGAGGGCCGGGCTGCTCCCCCACGTCCATCCAGGCCGGGAGCTCTCGGGGGGTTATGGTCACCCCAGGGCTGGGGCATGTGGCTGTGCCAAGAGGGAGCACGGAGCAAGCAGGCTGACCCCGTCCCCATCCCATCCCTTGTCCCCATCCCATCTCCATCCCCATCCCATCCCCATGACCCTGTTCTCACGCCCCAAGAGCCTCCCTCAGTTGCAGCAGCAGGAGGATGGCCCCATGCAGCATGGTGCCAGATGGGGACTGGTGGTGACACAGAGCTGGAGGCTGCAGAGTGACCCCAGAGTGGGTGAGGGGCACAGCCTCCATGCTGAGCCTATCCCACCAGCCATGCTGTCCCAGGGTTTAGGAACAGTGGCCACCTACTGTTGCCAAACCCTGGGGCTGCCACAGTGTCCCTATCACTGTCCCCATCCAAGCAGTGACTGCAGAGCATTCTTCAGCCCTCAGTGCTCTTTGGGTTTCTGCTGCTCCATTTTTAATTGCTCTTCCCACTTCCGTCCCCCCCCACACTGCTTACTGGCCAAACTCTGCACCCCCTCCCAGCCTCTTCTGGGTGTCCTCCTGCCCCAGTCCTTTACAGAGCTATCCCCAGCTCCTTCTGCAATGACCAGGAGACCTGGTGGCACTGGGACTTTGGGAGCAAGGATAAGAGCTGGGTTGGGGCCCCTCTGCACCTTCTGGCTCTGGGACTGAGCTGGAAATGGGCTGTCCTGGGCTGGAAATGGGCTGGAAATTGAATGTACTGGGCTGGGTTGGGCTGGAAATGGGCTGGAAATGGGCTGGGCAGGAACTAGGCTTGGCTGGAAATGGGCTGTACTAGGCTATGCTGAGCCAAGCTGGGCTCTGATAGGATGCGATGGGTTATACTGGTCTGGGCTGGGCTGGTTGCACTGAGCACTGTTGGTGTCCAAGCCCCTTATCCCCAAGCAGGGCTATGCTGGGGCTGTGTCTCTGTAATGTGGACACAGGGACATGAGGACCCAGGCCATCAACCCAGTACCGCCACATCCATGTATCCCTCCTAGGGTACCCCACATCCATGACCACATCCATGTATCCCTCCTAGGGTACCCCACATCCATGACCACATCCATGTATCCCTCCTAGGCATCACTAAACCATCCTTGCCACTTCGGCACCCTACAGGACATTCGGGTGCAGTTCCTCCACACTCACCCTTCTGGTGCCACACACCCCTGTGTCCCCAAGGCCATTCCCACCGGGACACCCAGGCACCCCGCAGCTCTCCCCTCCTCTCTCCGCAGGGCGGCCGCAGGGACCTCGGGGGCAACTGCCTGAAGGTGAGGGGGGTGACCCCGCTGCGGGTGGCACGGAGATGAGCCGGTGCCACCAGCACCCGCAGGAGAACGGCGGCAGAGCCTGTCACAGCCAGCCCCAGAGACCGCAGCGGGAGGGAGGGAGCTGCCCGCCAGCCGCAGGCGATGTGGCACAGCAGGGTCATGGGCTGGCACCGCACCGACGCCAGCACCGGCACCAGCGCTGCGGCGAGAGGACGCTACTAGGGCTGGGAGAAGGGGTCCCGCACCCCTGGGATGGTCCAATGGGGTGGGCTGGGATGAGCAGCCCGCACATGGCCGGCGTCGATGAGCTCGGGGGGGGATGGCAGCACAGCCTCGCAGGTGCTGTTGGTGCACGTGCAGCCACTTGGAAAATAAACCTTATTTTTCTGACGGGCTGGTGCCTGCCTGCTGCTCCCAACGCATGGCGTGGGGTCTTCAGCATGGCTGTGTCCCAATGTCCCTGCACCTCTGTGCCATGCTCAGGTCCCAACCACGACACTGCCTACTCTCCCTATGAGTGTGAAACCCCGTGCACCCGTGTCCCCGTGTCCCTAAGCCCTGCAGGCAGCTCTGCTCCCATGAAGATCTGGGCTATGGAGAGTTTCAAGCTGTGCAATGGGACATGTATGGGGACATATGGGACACATTGCTGGCACTTTGGGTGCGCACGCAGTGCACTGGGATTCGTCTCTGTTTCCGCACCTTCTTCACTGCCTGGGATGCTGTGACCACTGTGACTCCCACTGCTGCCACCATGGCTGCCACTGTCTCTGTGCATGGCCATGCTCTCTAGGGCTGAAGACGCAGGGTCAAGTGGGGACGTGGGGGTTCCCAGCCCAGCCCCCCTGCTCACTGCAGGGAGCTGAGCCTGGGAAAGGTGCCGGGCTCGGGGGCGCACAGCTCCCAGGGGCTCCTGCATCCCATGGAGCTGAAACAGCTGTGGATGAGGCGGCCTGGGGCTGTTGGTGTGCCCCCCCTAGGGCTGTGGGGTTCTCCAGGGAGAGATCCCATTGCAGAAGGGGAGCATGGGGCCCTGGTGCCATCCTCTCGCCCACCCTGGGGATGAGGTGATGGCAGGACCCCTTGGCCTCCCATGTGGCCAGGCCATGCTGGCCCCCAGCCCCCCTTTCCCTCGGGTTTGATTTATGGAGCTGACAGCACAGCGCAGCTGTGAGAGCGAGTCCCAGGCAGGGACCGGGGTGGGTGGGAGAGGTTTGTTCTCAGCGTGTCTAATGTGTCCCAGACCCCAATAAACAGCCGTGAGATTCTCCAAACATCCCCAGACACAGAATCCCTGCCCTTGGGTTTATCGGGGGGCAGGGGCTGGGGGTGGGGGCTTCACTCTGCAAACAGCTTGACCTGCAGATGAAAGGGGATTGTCCTCCTGCAGCCGCTGGGAAGCCCCCGTGCGCCCCCAGCCCCAGCAGTGCCGGTGGTCCTGGTGCTGGGACACAGTCCTGCAGCATCTCCCACATCCCCACGCTGAGGATGGAGTCCCAGTGGGTCGCAGTGCAGGAGCTGGGCAATATAGCATGTCCCAGTGCCAGGGCCACAAGTCCTAGTGTGTCCCCTCACATTCCACTGCTGGGATCATAGGTCCCAGTGTGTCCCAGTGCAGGAGCTGTGCATCTCAGTACATCCTAGTGCTGAGACCATGAGTCCCAACATGTCCCAGTGCCAGGAACATGGGTCCCAGTGTGTCACAGTATCTCTCAATGCAGGAACTGTGCACTTCAGTGTGTCCTAATGCTGGGGCTATGGGTCCAAGCATATCCCAGTAGAAAAGATGGACATCCCACCATGTCCCAGTGCTTAGCTGCAGATCTCAGCATGTCCCACTTCTGGGGTCATGGATCCCAGCACATCCCAGTACGGGTTCTGTGCACCCTAGCACGTCCCCATGCCAAACCCATGGGTCCCAGTGCCAAGCCTGTAGGTCTCAGTGCATTCCAAACCCTCCCAACGCTGCCAGAGGGAAATGTTGACTCAGAGGCACTGGAGCTGGGCTGCTGGGAGCCAGGTGTCCCTCTGCTCCATGCAGGGTGTGCACCATGGGACCACCAGAGCCGGTCACCCGCGGACGCTGCCGGCCCCGTGCCGCGCCGTGCCGCGCTGCCTCCCGCGCTCCCCTCCCATCCTCTCCCCTTCCTGTGCGCGGACACCCTTGGAATGGCTTTTGGCTGCTTTCTCTGAGACAGGAAGGTGTCCCCGAGTCTCAGGAAGGAAAAACACTCAGTGCTGAACCCACAAAGACCGTCTCCGAGGGGCCGGGGCTGGAGACGCTCCAGGCCTGACATCACCTGGGAACTGGAACCAGAACCGCAGCTGCACTCCGCGCCTGGTATTTTTTTCTCTAACTTGTGTTTTTAAACATTCTTTTTATAGATATATTTTTTTCCCTTCTCCATTCCCCTCCCAAATATTTCAGCCTCTCCGCAGTTTAACCTTGCTGGGCCAGCAGGGTAGGAATGCAGTGGGGCTGCACCCGCAGCTCAGCGGGGCTCAGACAGGATGGAGCTGCTGCAGCCCACGGGGCTGTGAGCTTGGGGCTCAGCTCACACCAGGGCCACTGCAGAGCCCACAGTGTGCGAGCAGTTCCTGCATAGAACAGCAGGCTTGAGCCACTTCTAATGCCCATATGTGTGCAGCCATGCAAACAGAGTTGGCTTCAGACCCACCACCCAGCACCCAGCCCTCTGCAGTTTGGCAGCACCCAACTCTGCAGTGTGGCAGCACCTGTGGGTGCAGCCTGGGCTCTGCCCAGGTGAAGTTCCTATGCCTTAAATGGCATCTGCCCATGGTAAATGTCCCTGTTGCAGTTATTGCAACCACTGCCCATGTGTGATGTACCAACCTCAGTCCGAGACTCAGCATCCATGGAACATGGAGAGAAATGGGAAGCTGTGGGAAGCTGCCCCAACGTGTCAGTGGGTACAGAACAGCAGGGAAGGAGCAGGGACAGATGGGCACAATATAAACTGGGATGGGGTGGAATGGGATGGTATGAGGTGCACACACCACAGCGCCCTGGACTGGATGCTGGGCGATCTCTGCCTCCCTGCAGACCCCAGCACTCTGCCAGCTCCCTGGGGAAGGAAGGAGGCAAAGGTGTTGCTCTAGCACCCCGGGGCTCCTGCAGCCAAGCCCCTTGCCCTCGTGCAGCAGCCCCTGCAGAGCCACTAGTCCAATGACCCTCCATGCACTGTGTGCTCCCTAGGGTGCAGGCCCCCCCAGCAGGGACAGGGTGTGAAGCTGTGTGCGGGGTGAACGCCAGGTTAATCTCCCGCTGGAGCTTCCCTCTGCAAACAATAAGACAATGCCCGGCCGGGGGCCGCCTGCGTAACCAGCGGTGTGGAGGGGAAGTTGTAATATTTGGATTTAGCACTCAGTAAATTAAGGGAGAAAAAGGAAAAAGCGCTGGGGGTAATCAGAGTGGGGCTGGCCCTGTGCCCTGCCCTACAGTCCCAGAGGGCTCAGCTCGGCATGGGGATGGTGGCAGTGGGTAAGTGGAGGGGTCCCAGAGCTGGGCGAGCCCCCACTGCCACACAGGGCCTGAGGGTCAGGGCTCAGCAGGGCCGTAGGCAGCACTCGCAGCAAGCACAGCATCTCCCGTGACACCAGAAAAGGGATCTGGGCCAGCAGTTTATTTTAATCCAGACCTGCTCGAGCTCATGGGAAATAAAACACTGCTTCTGCAGCTGGGGTGGTTGGGCAGGAGAGGTCTCCAGGGGCATGGCCACCTCCAGCTGACAGGGAGCGAGGTAGCAGAGGGCAAAGGAAGACAAGCAGAGTGGGGTCCCCCTCTGATGCAAGGGATCCCTCCAAACAGTGTGGCACCCCAACTCTAGGGTGCAGGGCCAGGAGCTCCTGGCAGCACCATGGAGCACACTCTGTCCTACCCAACAGTGACAGCTCTGTAGGGCTGGGTTAGCTTGGCCAAAACATAGTGGGATCTGGGCTGACTTCCGTCCTGCCTCAATCCCCAACAGGGCAGACTCCTGCCTGCAGCGACCACGTTGCAATGGACACGTGGGATTCCCTGGGGTAACGGTCTGGGGGTGTCAGGCCGGACCTCACACCAGGTCCAGCACCTTGCTGCAAGGTCCAAGATAGAGACCTGGGAGGGCTCCTATCCCACAATTGCAGCAGGGTCGCCTGGGCACCCAGGATGAACACGGAGCAGGGACAGGTGGAGGAGAGGTGACAGGTGGGCAGCAGCATGCAGGGAGGCCTTTGGCACAGAGCCGCGTGCTTGGAGCCCATTTCCCCCAACAGGAGCTGTTATCAGTGGCAAATACTCAGAGCGGTCCCAGGAGGGACCTCCAGCTCTTCCCCTCCACCTACCCCATCTCTGTCCTGCTCCAGCCCACGTCAATGCCGTCGTGAAGGTGTCGGAACAATCGCCTGACAAAGAGCTATTTTTAGGGGCCGGGGCTCAGAGCAAGGATACAGCCCGGCTTCTGACAATGGGGGGAAGGGGGCCGGGCTTCCCCAGTGACCACTCGGCAGCAGAAGGACCTGTAAGATTTCCTCGATGACCCAGGCCCGTACAATACAAGGAAAGCACAAGAGGGAGATACCCCCGCCAAGACGAGCTGCTCCTTTACCTAATGGGAGTGACCTGGGGTGGGGGGCTGTGGGATTTGGGCAAGCAGCCGCCAGCAGCTCCTCCCGCGAGTGAGACTCCCACGCAAGGAGAGCAGAGTGCAGCACGAGGCCGCAGGGGTGCAGGCACGTGGGCTGCAGGCAGGGGCACACAGCTTCCCAGGGACAAGAGGCTTTGGGCACGGCTCAGTGAGAGCCCCTCTCCCCTATAGGATGGCTCCCAGCTCCCAAGGGGCTGCAGCACTTGGCAGGAGCGTGGCCCCCGCGGCAGGGATGCGATCAGCACGAAGCCACGTGTCTCCAAACGGGGTGATGTGAGGCGGGCTGCACTCCTGCTCTGTTGGCGGTGCATTCCTGCCCTAGCTGCGGTGCTTGGAGGCGCGGAGCGGTTGCAGAGCGGGCAGCAGATGTGATCGAGATGGGTCTCAACGCATTTCCTCCTCCTCCCAGTCTCAGCCTGCAGCAGAGGTGCTGGGTGTCGGCTTTTGGCCAAACTCCGGTGGAGCGGCGCTGCTCGGGGCCGAGCGACGGGGAATCAAAGCCGACGAGCCGTGGTGCGCGGGCCCCGGAGGGGCTCAGGGCTCCCACACAGCAGAGGGGGCCACGCTCGCACGGCGGGCTCGGAGGGCGCGGGAAGGGAAGGGCTGCGGGCGGCGCACGGAACCGCTCGGCTCCCGGCGGCCGGGCCGCGCTAGGCCGCGCTGGGCCGCAGTTGCCACCTGGTGGCGGGCCCCGAGCACAGACCCGCGGAGGGACGGCCCTCCTCCGGGCCGCCTCCCACCGAGGCCGCTCATGGATGGCAGCCAGGCCCCGCCGCACCTCGCGGGACGTTCCGGGCTCGGAGCGAGGATCCCCCGGGTCTCCCCGCGCCTTCCAGCCGCACGGCCGAGAACCTCACCCTTCTCCATCTCCGTACCCCGATCGCGAACTACAGCCCCCAGGATCCTTTGCGGCGTGCCGACCGCCCTCGCGCATGTGCAAATCCTCCCCACCTCCCCTCCTTCCCGCGGCACGTCGCGCGCCAGCGGGTGGTGGGGTTTCCGCTTCCGGCGCGCCTCGCTCTGGTCCCTGCGGCTGGCGGCCGAGCCTTGTGCCTCCGCCATATTGTCTGTGTGCGGCCGGCGGGCGGGCGGCGAGCGGGCGGCCGCGGCAGGTACCGGCGGGCCCCGGCAGCTCCGGCGCCTCTCCCGGGGCTCTGCGGCGGGCAGAGAGGATGGGACGGCGGGGGATAGGAGCCGCCGTGGCTCCTCGCGCTCCCCGCCCCGCTCCGGGCGCAGTGTGGGCCGAGGGGCTGGGATCGCCCCTGAGGAGAGCTGGGCCGCGGGAGGGGCTCGGCCGGGCGCCGCTGAGGGGAGCGAGGACGGGGGGTCGGAGCGGGTACGGCCGGGCGGGGGGGGGCGAGGCAGGGCCGGCCCCTGCTGCCCGGGGAGGTTCCGTGCCTCCGGGGAAAGCGGGGCCCGGGGCGGTTTCGGGCCGCCCGGTTGTGGCCGGCCCGTGGTCCTTGCTTCCCCTTTCCCCCCCCCCCCCGCTGCCTCCCGCGCGGAGTGGGCAGGGCTCTGTGGGAGACCGGCCCTCCCATCCCCCCCTCCCCCTCCCGTCTTCTCGGCGGTTTAGGTGGTCGTTAGCTAAAATGCTCCGTCTTTCCTTCTTTTGCCCGGCTTAAGTGAGCGGGGGGACGCGAGGGGCCGAGAATGTGCCTCCAATCTGCTGCCCCCGGCACAGGAGCTCGGCTCTGGGCCGCCCTGGCCGCAAAGCAGGCGGTTCGCAGGGCCTCCCCTCCTCCCGGAGCAGCAGTGGTCAGTCTCGCCCTTGCTGTAATTTAGTTCGGTGCGCCTTGGGGCAACGGGCTGCGTGGTTGTTGGTAAAATATGCTTTGTAAACGAAAGGGCAGATAAGATTATGAAACCTCATGAGTGCTATTTGTTAGGTTATTCTTTCTTACTAAGGGCTTTGGGTACAACCAATAAAGTTTGGATTATAAACATTCAGTCACAGATATGTTTTCTGCTGGCAGAAGTGGTTGATGTATGCTGAGGCTCATGAAGGGTATCACGTCCCTTTTGCAGGCTGTGTTTATGGGACTTAAGTCTGTGTTTCAGGGCAGGCTTTTGCACTGTGCTGGTATCTTTGTACCAGGTGAGGCTGTGCTGGCACTGGGAAGTTGGTTGTGTGGTCTTTGGAAGTTGGCATCTGCTGAAGATGGCTGGTGCCATGTCTTTGTAGAGGCTTTGAGGGCTTCTCTGGGTACGTGGAGACAGCAGTGATGTTTCATTCAGGTAGTGTTGCAGTTTTTGCTCAGAAGGCTCTCTCATTAAAAATGTAGTAGTTGCTCAGAATGTTTGGTCTTGAAGAGAGCTGGTGTTCATGCTGTGTTGCCAGTCAGCTTAGGTATTGGAGTCTAGTGGCATGGATTTGGTTATAGAGTATGTAGGAACAATGAAATCACTCATCCTGTATGTTCATGTTGGCCAAAAGGGCAAAGCTACTCGGAGGGGGAAGGCTGCATTTCAGAGGGCAGTACACAGGAACCGAGTAAAGTGTGGAGCAAAGAGTGCTTGATTGGCTCCTTAATTATCTCTAGAATGAGGGTAATGGGCTGGTTCTTATAGCACAGTGCTGTGCCTGGGTAAAGCACATCAGCAGTGAGATATCCTTTGTGGAGACACAAACTGTGTCTATACTTAGAGCAAGAAAAAGGTGGAATAGCTAGCTGGAAGTCCTCCAGATCAGGTGCCTCTTGGCAGAGGAGGGTTTATCATATGGATACTGCTCTAGAGACCCTGGATCTCCAGTGGTAGGCAGTGATCCATACATCCTGGCCTAGGAGAGATTTATGTGGTTTTGCCCTTCCTCTGTTACCTGGTAGTGTTATTTCTGTCATTTATTTGGTGTTGGTGAAACCTCACTGCCTTCTGCTCTGGGTGTGGGCAGCAGCAGAGTTCAGTGCCCTGCAGATGGAATGGGTGAGCCTGCTTTGCTGGGTGCCACCTGTGAGAAGTTGAAATAGGGTTGGGGTCTGCACCCTGGAGTGAGAGAGGCAACATTGTTCTTTCCTTTGCTGTTACCAGAGCAGGAAGGATGTAGGAGATATTACTGGATAGGCAGGTAATGTACTGTGCTGGGGTTAAGAGTGGGCTGGAAGAGGTGTGATGTGTGATGCTGGAGAGGAAGGTACATACTTACATGTGGCTGATGCAGAGCAGGTTCTGGTTGTGGCGGGGTGTATGGATTCATGGTTTGAGGAGAAGTAGGTTCTGTTGGAAATAATGGTTCTGTGGAAGAAGGATGGTAAAACTTGGCAGTAGGTTCTAGCGAATTTGGAGGAAACTGGATCAGGGAATATTTCATGAAACTTAGTGGAATTAAGTCTTTGGAAGTGTCAGTTAATGGTATTCATTTGCTTGAGAAAAGGTGATGCAAAGTGAGAGCAATAATGCAAGCAATGTGAGTGGGAATTATTGAGGGAGAATCTGAAAAAAGTACAGTTTTGCAAAGGAGTGACAAAATCACTGTAGTATAAGAGATTCCCAGCATTTTTCAATGCCTTAAACAGTTCTGGTGGGAATATTGGGAGGTCAGACAGCAAAAGATGGTAATAGAGATATAGAGAAAGAAACTGTGTTTCTAAAATGATGAAAGGAATGGGGAGGTAACTTCTCCCAGCTGTGTGAAATGTCAGTCTCCTTACCATTTCCACTCCTTTTTTTCCTGCATTTTCTCCTTACAGAACAAATTTTCTCTTTCTACCTTTCCTCATGTCCTCTAAGGAATAACAGCAAGGAAGACAGGAGAAGCAAATGGGTGACATTGTGCTGGTGTGATAAATTTCATGTCACATTTCTGAAGGGGCAGGGTTTTATTTCTGGGTTACCAGAGCTGTCACCTCAATGGCTTGTCAGTTCTCAATTGCTTGCACTGAGGTATCTGGTTTGTGAACTGCGGTGAGGTTGGTGCCATCTTGGATTTTCTTGTCCTCTGAGGGTCTTAAGAGAATAAATGCCCCAGGTTTTAAGATCAGAAGGGACTTAATTTCACTGCAGCTGTCACCTGCTTTTGATTGGAAGATTACTTGGATAATCATCTGAGCCTGGATATCTCCTTCCAGGGGCTTCCAAGAGCTGATTTCTCTGGGCTTTATGAAACCTGATTGGAGAAAAGATGTTCTCCTTCAGATCTAGAAAGGCCACTTTGAAAAGGAGACTGCAGCTGTGTGAGCTGGTATTAGTTCTGGTGATTAAAGCAGTGTGTTTTACAGCCCATTTCTCACACTCCATCTAAATTTGCCACTGAGATGCCCAACCTGTCTTTCAGTAGGAAAGGATAATCAGAAATGGGATTGTTGATGTTCTTGTAGGATCAACAGTTCAAGGATATCTCCTGTTGGTCAGGCCTCAGCAGTAGAGGAGCAGTGAAGTGATCCTAACATGAGTCGTACCTGCTCCTTTGGCCAGGCTGTTCTGGGCAGCTTAATTCCAACAGATTATTTCGCTGTGCACTTCTTGCTGCTGTTTGGGAGACTGAAGAGAAGAGGGGAGGCCTTGGAACTCTTTGTGAACCCAAGACAGCTCTAGCCCAGGCTCGTATTTGGAAGGTTCTAATTTCAATAACTTGAATTTTCCACAGAACTTATTTCTGTGTGAGTGTAGACTGTGACCTTATTGTGATCAGTTTCCAGATTTTTAAGAAATATTACCATTTGCTTTCTGAAGCAGGCCACCCAGCTACTTAATCTAGTGACTGGGTGGGGGAGGTCTCAGTGCATGGTGAAGTACCTCCTGCATGCCCAGGGTGATGTACGGAACTTCTCCCGTGGGCTCCTCGCCTTGGAGGAGGCGGTTCTGCAGCACACACATCCCTGTGTGCAGGAGCCATCACTCTGTCTTTATTTTTAGTGTTCTGAAAATGGATCAGCATGGATGCACACAACAAATTAATTTCTAGCATAGAATAGCGAGAGCTTCTGCACTGCTCCTTTTCTTACAAGTTTTGTTGCAGATTTCTCTAGCTGTTACTGACGTGCTGTTAAATTTCAGCCTTACCTTCTGCAGATTCCACAGCTCTGATGATATTCCAGAAGGAAGAGGAGGTGGTTTTGCTTGACTTCAACTGAGTTACAAATTAAAAGCTACAAGTTCTGGCATTCCAGAATGTTTGGGTGCATCTAACAAGGCACAACAACTTATCCTCTTCCTAAGTCATGATGTAATGCTGCCCAGTGGCCTTACTGGGCCTTTCCAAGGGGTGAAGAGCAATGCTGGGAGATGGACAGGCCTGCCCTCACATGGGCTGCCAGCACTGTGGTTTGGCTTAGTGTGGCAGAGGTAGATTCAGCACTCATATCCCTGTTGTACACAGAGTGATGAATGCTGTGTTGATGAGGTGTTGGTTAATTTCCAAAGCACTCGTGCAAAATACAAAAATCACAATGGCATGTTTCTCAGTTGGTGTGTTGACATCAGCTGCCATATCTAGGAGAGCTGCTGTGTCTGGCTGTAGCTGCGTAAACTGAGTATGTGTTGTGCTGTGTTAGAGTAGCCAGTACATGATAGAGAATGATTTCTGGAGTTTCAGAAGTGATTTTTTTTCCCTCTGATTTTTGGAGTGGTTGTAGCTAGGTATGTCTCATGCTAACAGCATCACATTTCTGCAGAACAATGGCTGGAACTATTTCAGATGGAGCTGCCTTGAGTGTCCCTTCCCCAGCCCTTTGGATGCCAGCTGAGCTGCAGAGATGGCCCATGGTATGCTGCCTGCTTGATGGAAGCAGCTGATCGCAGAGATTTCCTGAAGAAATGGTTATGTGCCATACAGACAGGTTTACTCTCTGGCTTTGGTAACTTTCCCTGCCTTTAGGAATCACCTGATCAGTCTGAAAAACAAATCACTTTTACAGACAGCAGGTTCCATTTAGTTGTTGAGTTCTAGCTAAATCATGCCACATGTGAACTGCGGGAGTCAAATCAGCTGAGCCATGGTACTGTCAGTACTCTGCATACTAATTAATGTGGAAAACAACTGTGTCACTTAGTGGTAATTACAAAGGAAGAACTTTCTGGAGGGTGCTGCCAGTTGACCTGATGTTAGCTGGGAAGAGCCTGTGGTGATGCTGAAACATTCCCCTTTCTGAGCTTTCAGGAAAAGTCCCTGGTTTTGCCAAGACCTCAGAAGTGGTAATTTTGGTCATTGACTTATAGGATAATATTGTCCAAAGCTCCAGCACGAGCTTCATTTATAGGAATGTATCTAGAAGAGAAAGAATCGCTTCACTCTGTGTTGAAGTTCTTGCAAGCAATTGCTTTGAAATGCTCAAAATAAAAACAAAATAAACCCTATATTCTGTGTTACAGCCTGTCACATGCCCTAGGTAGCACACAGCTTCAGCTATTCCTGATGGTGAGGGAGAACTCCTCTTCTTCAGCCCACCCAAATGCCAAGAGATGCTGGCAGCAGAGGATTGTCACCACTTTCTAGTTTGCAGAGTGCACGGGTTTGGCTGTTTGTGGCTACACTTGGAGCTGGGTTTTTTTGCTGTCTGTTTTGAGTTAGGCATGTAGCCATTTTTATTTGATTGTGTCATGAATGTGAAGTGGTGGCAATAACAATACCTGCCCTGTTTGAGGGGGTTGGGAGCCATAGCAGGCGGAGCTGCTGCCCTTCGTGCTCTGCTGTGAGGGCCCGGGAATCTCACCCGCATTGCTGACTGCTGCAGCTCATTCCAAATGGTGGGTTTGTGTTGGGAAAAGCTTTCCCTTTGCTCTTTGTGCTGTGAACTAGCTCAGATCTTCAGATATGAAGGAGAAGCTATGATTTGATGGGATGGGTGGGAAGAGAAGAACTTGTGAAGTTGACTGGCTGTTCTGTATGGAATCCCTTAGGAGATGCAGTGAGGAACGTTCCAGTCACTGGCAGCTCCTGCTGCTGGAGGAAATCCCAGCTCATTTGGCCCAGGTATATGTGCAGTTCCCAACACAGGAGTTTTGCAAAGGATGCTTGTCCAACTAGGCTGAGAGTCTGGAAACCTGTCGATGATCTATGATTCTCTGTGAGCTTTTCTAAAATTCTGTTGCTATGGCTCTGAACAACAATGAAGGCTAACTGTGACAGAGCTGCTGGAGCACCCTGTGCCTATCAGACGTGGAATGCTGCTTGCACTGTTTGTAAAGCAGGAGAGCTGAGGTGTGCCCAGGACTGTGGAGTTGCAGTAAAACTGTTCCAGTGATTGGTCCTGTGACTTCTATTCAATTGAGGCCCACATTACGAGGGATTACTTCTTCACTGGCAGAAGCTGCAAGGAATTCAGAGGAGGAATTAGTAATATGGGTAAAGAAAGAGCCAGTCTCAATGTTACAACACTGCTAGTACAGAATTGCTCCACGATGTTTCTTGACCAGCCATCAGGGAAAAGAGATGACAGGCTACGTCCTACCTTGAATTAAATCACAATATTCCTGTTTCTTTTTCAAAATAACGTTTGAGGTCCTTATGCATTAGATTTATTATTTCTCCAGGGCCGGATGCAAGCAGCTATTTAAAAGAAATCTGGAAAATAATTTTGTTGGAAACATGTTGTTAGAGCAGGCTGCTGTTCCAAAAAAATATCAAGAGAAAAGTTTTTGGTTTCAAACTGAAGCTTTCTTTCAACTCAATTAGATGTTAAAAATCTGCTTTTCGGTTGATACTGTCCCTTTAGTAGGTAAATGGGTTTCAGGAAAGGATGTGAAATGTCAGTTCTGTTAATCCAGGCTCATTTCTATTTCAGCTATAAAATTGCAGAGAAATATAGGCTGCAGGGGACTTGTGGAGGTCATCTGTTCCATTCCTGTATTGCAGCAGTTCCATTATTGTGAAAATACAGACATCAGATTTCTGTTGTGAGATAGAACATATGTTTTTTATCAAGTTGGTTATTATTGTTTCTTCCTGAACTGGGATTTGAATAATGTTGGCTGTCAGTAGGTTGTATTATAATATCTAAGCATATCTTGCTCTTTTAATTTCAGTAGCCTCTACCCAGTACTACATGTTCTCCAAACACTGAAGAACTGAGTGCTCCTTCCTGGGAGGCTTCACAGGCAAGGGGTAGATAGGCTATGTGAAGGAGGTTATAACCAGTTTTATCTAATAACTGGAATGCTTCCTCCCACTAACAAAGCACATTTCTATACTTAGGATTTCAGAAGTTGGGTTTGAGCCATTTTCTCTGAAAGGTAATGTCTCTCTGGTAACCAAGAATAAAGGAGCAGTATAACAGAACTCGACTGGTTGAGGGCTTTTTTCCCCATAATGAACTGGCTGTTGTCTGTTTCAGTCTGTTGACAGCTTTACTTAGTCATAGTTGCAGCTTATAATGAGCTTACATGGGGAAAGTAGAAGTGAGAGGGAAGTCTGCAGACCTGTGTGACCATTCTGAGCATCCGGCTTTCTGCCTGGGGGTAGGAGGAGGTGGTCTGGCACAGTCTGTCTGGAATTGGCCAAGTGATAGAAATATTCTCTTGGCTCTTTGGCTTTGGCATGGGGCAGCTTAGGACTTTTTACCCTTGTGATAGGTGTTCTCTGCTGACTCCACCTAAGTTCAAGTGAGTCACCTGCACTGACTGTGATATTGAACAGAAGGGACCAAGTTCTTTCTGATCTGCCTGGGTGACACCAAAGCAGCCAGCAGTGTCCTGCTTGCTGGGACAACAAGAGCTTGCTGTGCTGTGAGCAGTAGCCTGCAGACAGGCCAGTGTCAAGTGATGCTTATGTTTGTGGGTGCCTTATTTATACTCCAAGCCTTCTCCACAAAGGTCATCACTTGGGTAGTACTTGGAGTTCCCCAGGACAACAGTCTTCTGGGAAGCTCTTGGCTTCCAGCTCGCTGTGTGCACTGCGTCACACTGCTGCAGATTTCTAGGTTTCAGGTTCTGGTAACTGTGTACTTGAGTGGCACTCCATGTTATAAGCATTGCCTTTAAAAGGAGGGGGGGGAATCCAGTACCTTGGTTATTTGTGACTTAAAAAAAGCGGGGGGGAAGCATTTTACTAGAGGCTAAGTAGGTGTGTTTCTGCTGATTTGCTTAATTCCTTGCCTGTGTTATGGTGCCACTTGCTCAGAGTGGTGCAGTTGGGAAGATAGTAGGCAAAGGAAATCCCTGTAGTAGTTGTGCACTGGTGGGGACAGGGGGTTGCCATAGGGATTACAGTAACACTGCCTAGATGCTAGATTCCCTTCTTAAAAAGGAGGAGTTTTCTAACAGTGATTTAAATTAAAGAATTAAAAAGTTTTAAAAATCAAATTCGAAGTAAACATTGAAAATCTACTGACTGTTTTGCTGAACTTCAGGCACAAAAGGTAGCACAGCAAGCTGCTGTTAGAGAAAGTCAAACTGTGAAGAAGAGGCCTCTTTTAATTAGTAGACCTAGCAGTGACGTTCCTGTATGGTGGCAGCACAACTGTTCTGATCCCTTGACTTTGACTCTCAGGCACTCCTATGGACTTCTTATCAGCAGTGTGGAGTTTGACCCTGTTCTCACCGTTCTGCATGCAGGATAAGCAGAGCCCTGTGGTGCAGGATGAGCTGATAGCTGGCTTACTACTACTGACAGACCATAGTTAAGGGCAGGCCTGTGTGCAAAAACCAACTGCTGGTTCTGTTTGGGTTTGCCACCATGCAGTGTCTGCTTGAGGGGTATTGCTGGAGAAACACAGCTGGGGCAGAATAGCTGCTCTGTGTCCTTGCAGTGCCAAGGCAGAGAGTTGGACAGCAAGTGCCAGGCGGGTAACTGAGGGCTTTGTGTTCCTCACTGACCTGCTGCATTGCCTACAGACTTGTGCTTCTGTTTCTTAGCTACGCACTTCAGTTAAACCAGAGAAATAACAGGTTTTTTTTCAGAGGTGTGTTTTGTTTTTGTGAGTCCTCGAATGCTTTTGCTTTGCTTGCCCTATTGCCCCAAATGTTTCAGTGTCACACAGAGGCTGTAAGGTTAGCTCCAGCTCACAGCCAGCCAGCTGGTGGCACTTGAGCACCAGATTCCTGTCTGCCAGCAGAGGACTGATGACAGCAGAGCTTCTGCCTAGGTGCAGCAGGTACTACATTACTTTGAACTCATTGCACTCTAGCATAGGAACTGCTGTTTTACTGTCACAACACGGTGGGTTCAGTTCTGTAGATGGAGGATTTGGTCTGGTCTGCTTTTGTTGCAGGTTCTTTGCTGCTTCTGAAGGGAATGCATTTGCCTGAATTGGGGAGGACGAGTAATGGTGGAGGTGGGACGTGGTTACAGAACTTTGCAGCACAGCTCTGGAGTGCCTCCAGATGATGAGAAATTCTGATCAGATACAGAAGTTATTTCTTCTCATTGTGAGGGTGGTTGTCATTCTTGTTGGTGATACTAGTCACAGTAACCTTACCTACAACATAGGTTACTTTTGGTGGTCCAAATAATAAGTGAATTATTCTAGATGCTGTCATGTATGCAGGAATTAATAAATGGCATCTTCTGTTTGGATTCTGACTGCAGCAATAGAGTTTAACCTTTCTAATAAGCTCAGGACACTCATCTCAGTTAGGTGTAATTGCTACTTGTACTGTGTATTTCCTACCTTAAAACTGCATGACAGGTATTTATCCCTCTTTGTCCCCTCTGTCAAAGAATTTGGATTCATTGCAAGATTATCCCTCTGCAGGTGTAGTGAATGCAAAATATATGCATGTTCCTTAGCAGTTTGAGTAGGGGGAGTGAGAAGCTTTCAGGTGAGGTAAGTTTGTGTAAGTAAGTAATTTTGTTTGCTTTAAAACCAAATTATCTGTATTCTCTCCTTTCCACTTAAAAAAGCAGTAGATGGTAATACCTACCTTCATAATTAGGCACTGTGTGTGCCATTCTTAGAAGCATAGTTGATTTCCTGTAAAAACCTCTGAGCAGTCTGTTACAACAGAGCTTGTGCTAGGCTGCAGTTACGTGACAAGGAAATATCTACTGTGAAAATTGATCTATCTTTGGATAATGAGATTGATTTCTTATTTTTTTTTTTGCCTGCTGAAGAAGTGATCTTGCTGAGTAGTGTGGAACAGTCATGTTGTGTTGATATGGATTATGCTTAAAAATTAGAATTGCTCCGTCATCTCAGACACTGGGTTGTCTGTGTGGAGACTGGAGTTGGCCTTGATCCTTGTGGGACCCTTCCAACTCCAGATACTCTCTGATTCTATGTGTAGGTCCCACACAAGCAGTGTTGGGCAGACAAAAAAGCAAGTGGAAAACCTGCTGGAAGCACGAGGAGATAGGAGAAACAAAAACACGATGATGAAACTTTGAAATTAAATTAACTGCACAGTGCTGAGAGCATTGTAGTGAACTTGCATGTTCTGCTAATGCAGTCTTGGAATACACATCGACTTTCTGAGCAGCTGAGTCATGCCACATAAATGGTTTGAGGTCTGAGATGACTGCTGTCTGATCTATTGAAATGTGTATTTTGTTAGAGGAATAAACATTTTGACCAGGAATAGGTGTGTTTTTTTTTTCAGTTATATTTCTTGCTGTTACCTGGATGTTGCCCTGTCCCTTGCTGTCAGAAGTCGATCACGCCTCCATTGCAGACTTCAGAACAGTGCTGTGTCCCTTCTCAGCCTGGAGGCTGGATGGCTGCTTCCCTGCCTACCTGCAGCTGCCTGCCACAGCATTTGTGTGTCACCAGGTCAAAAAATAACCCACGTTACCATGGATTGTGCTATGAGAGAAGGCTTGGTTAGCTCGTGCCAGGAAGAGCTGTCGCAGACATTCCTGCATCCAAAGCAGGCGGCTGCTGGTGGAGCTGTAGGAAACAGTGCAGGAGGAGGATTTGTGCCTCTGGGCTCCTGCTGCAGACATCAAAGCCATGGACAGGACACTGTCAGCAGAGCAGGATTTGACTTCTAGAATTTTCTGTTGGCGTGATACATCCTGGTAGCCTAAACTTAACAGCTCTGAACAGTTTTCTAGGTCTTATTAATTTCTGATTAATGGTGCTATTACTTCTTCCTGCAGTGTAGTAGTTGCATGAAGGGATAGGATTGCATAGCAAATAATTCCCATTCATTTGGGTTATAGCATTGCCCACGGAGGGCCGTTCTGTGACCACAGCCATGCAGTCTCTGCCTTGTGCTGCATGCCAAACAATGCTCCTTCAGACTCTGATACAGCTTCCTTCCTCCAAAGTTATTTTGAAAGCTGACAAAGACATTCTTGTATTTAAATGTTTAAAAGTATGTCAGCTTTCACTTGTGGAGAAAGATTTGAGGGGTGCAAGGCACTGCTTTTATTTAGGCAGGACAATACATCCGGTATAAAATCATAGCACTTAATGCTTGGCAGAATGGAAAGCTTTCCTCTGCCTGCTTCTGGCCTATTGAAAAGAAAAAAAACATTGAGTTTTTTGGCATGCTTTATTGCCTTTACCATTGTGCTGTTAATAGATAGCCTGGATTTATAAATACCAGGAGGCTTGTCCAGAGTCTCAACAATCTGGTTTTTATACAGGAGCCATCATTACTGACTTGAATATTTGTGCATTCTAATTCTATTGGGTAATATTGGTAGGATCACCTGTAGGTGCTGCTTTCCATCCCTCACTTCAGGGTGTTGTAGCCCTTGCAGTGTGTTTGTACTGACAGTATTGGAAGCACGCTCTGAATTTGGGCCGGGAGGTGATGTGATCACTGTCCTGCTGATTGAGGTCCCACTGGTGTTAGCTGCATCCTTTGACCGGGCCTGAAAAAGCAGTGTGCTCCATAAACAGGTTTTGCCTCTGCACCAAGGAGCTCCTTGGTGCAAAGAAGTACGCTTGTCAACCATGATTCCTCTGCAGGGGTTTGAGTAAACTTCCCTGTATGGTCACTGAGTGAGAAATCAGTAGTGAATACTAGGTCTTATGGCAGGCTGGAAACCAGAGCTGTTCTGATTGTTGAGACTCTGGACAAGCACGATTAGTGTAGTTCTTAGAGTAAGTTACTGTTGTCTTAAATATTCAGAAATTAGAGCATGTGTTTGAACAGCAGCTTCCTGCTCAGTTATTTCAACCAGTCATAACAATGGTGAAACTTAACAGGCCTGAAATTCTGCTTTAAATGAAGATTGTGTTTCTAGAAATTGAAACTTGGGGGTGTGCTTAACTTAGGTTGCACAGGTGACCGCCTTGTAAATCTGTCTGCTGTTGGCAGCACAGCTTGTCAGTGTGCTGCAAGAGGGGCAGGATGTGCAGCACACAGTGAGTGAAGGGTTCTGGTTCTGCACTGGCATGAACTCGCCCAGGGTGGAGAAAAGTTGCAGTAGGTGGCTGTTGCCTTTGCTGCAGAGCTGAAGGGAGGAGCCCGTCTGCTGATACAGAGCATGCTGCGGTTCTTCCCTTGTAGAAAGTTATCTTTTCGGCCATAAGTTGGATACTTGGTACTGAAAGTTGCAAGGTGTGTACAGGGTGTTTGTTCTGCTGTTGGGTCCAAATGATCCTGTCTTGTGTGAGGGAAAGCGGACAAATGGTTTTCAGGTCCTGACAAATGATCCCAGGTCTGTGGCTGGACTCCAACTTCTCAACAGCTTTTAATTATTAACTTAAATATTTTTATAGTATCTTGAGATTTTAACCTTCGGTTTATTTTCTCTCTCTCTTTAGTTGGAAGAACCAGAGGCCTGTCTGAGGCCTTTCTCCTCTGTCCTGCTTTGGAGATTGGGTAGCCTCTGGTTTCAGACATCTCATCGCTTCCACCTGCCAACCTGTCTGATATGTCGGGACCCGTGCCGAGCAGGGCCAGGGTTTACACGGATGTGAACACACACAGACCCCGGGAGTACTGGGACTACGAGTCGCATGTGGTTGAGTGGGGGTAAGTTTGGGCTGGGCAGGATCCACGTAGGGTCTGGCAGAGTGGTGCAAGGGAAGCTTTGGCACCTGTGCTGCGTTAGGCTTTCATGCTCTTTGGCAGATATCTGGTGTACATGGCAAGTTAGGATCATAGCTTTTTTTTTTTTTTGGAATTGCAGAAATGGCAAAATAGCCTGTTGTGTATCTGAAATCATCTCTTGTCGAATGTTTAGATCCCTGGCAGCACAAGGATGTTTTTAGTGTCTCCATCAAGATTTTGGTTTGAATAGCTTTTGATGTGTGGTCAGGAAACTTTTTCTTTCAGAAGGAAGAAAGTCTTTTATCTGAAACAGGCTAAATGACTCTGGGAGTGGGGCTGGAAAAATGGTTCTGATTTGGAGGAGTGAAGAGACTCAGGAAACTGGAATAGTACGTCTCCTTGTGACCTGTTGCTCTTCTCTCTGCAAGTGACTACAAAAGACATCTATGCTCCTTTCTGAAGGAAGGGAAATGTCTCAATTGAGCTCATAAATGAAATGTCCAAGAATCAGATGGCAGTGATGCAGCTTCATGGCTCTGTGCTCCTGCTTTTGTGGGCAGGGTCCAGACAGCCCTGTCCTCAGCTTTGATGCAGTTCCTGGTTTTTGAAATGCATGCTGTGCTGAATAGAATTGGTGTCTTGTGCCTGGTCTGCTATTAAATGGGCTAGCACTGAAGTTTTTTGTCTTGATAGCTTTACTGATGTTTTCCTAGTGTTATGTTAGGAAAAATGTACTCCCAAACCTACATAGATTCTGGAAAGGATAGCTTTAGTTTGCTGAAGTCCAGATGGGCTCACATTACCACTGCAGAAGAAACAACTTCTAGGTTGAATTGGGCTTGGACAAAGAGAAGCTCCCCGCTTCTCTCAGTTCGTAATCATGGCCTTCAGTAGAATGAAGATGCTTGTTTATCCACCTTGTCTGGAAGGGGGAGGCAGTGATTTAGAGTTAAGGAGCACCTTGTAAATTCTGATGGAAATGTCTGAGCTATTTGGAATTCTTTACCTATTTATCTCCACAGAAATCAAGATGACTACCAGCTAGTTCGAAAATTAGGCCGAGGCAAATACAGTGAAGTATTTGAAGCCATCAACATTACAAATAATGAAAAAGTAGTTGTTAAAATTCTCAAGGTGAGCAGGGGTTTGGGGAAAACATGAGATTGGTCCTGAAGTGACTGGGAGGCCAGAAAATGCTGCAGTTGGTCTAAAGTGTCTTGTCTTCTAAAACTAAAATCCCTGAAGTCTGGCTTCAGAGTCCCCTTCAGTGAAATAGGCTATCATTGCAACCTCTTAATAAGAAGCCATATGCTTGGTTATTAAGTTAAATCTCTACCTGTAAGGAATTAACCTTTCTCTTAAAGAAGTCCTGATGTGCAACACGTTTCTGAATGTGTTTTTACTTGGAGTTAGAAAAGTTTTCAGCAGCTGACTAAAGAATTCTCACCTCCTTTAACTGCCAGAACCTCAGCATGTTTTTACGTGGAATGAAGCCTATAAGCTCGCAGGACTGTTGTCCTTTAAAGGCAGTGATAAAATTCGGAGCCTGCTAACCTTAAATTTTTAATTTCTGCTTTGCATGTTCCATTGCAGATGTAATATTCTTCCAGGCTGAGTTAAGGTCTCCTGGAAAATTTTGTTCCACAACCTTGACTGATGAAATATCTTTGTTTAGTGTGGCCTTTGGATAGCTGATGAGTTTCTTATAACTGTACATTTAGCAAATGTCAGTTAATTTTGACTGTTGGAATGTGTTCAGAGATGTGAGTTCTTACTGGAATGATTCATAGGTAACAACAAAGTGTAGCTGTTGGAACTTAACTTGCAAAGGTGCTGATGTATTTTGCTAACTTGCAGTCAGGTACCTTTGTCATCTCTCGTGTCTGTTTGCCTCACTTTATGGGCCACTTTGTCTTATGCTTTGGTGTTTTGTTCTTCAGCCTGTTAAAAAGAAGAAAATCAAGCGTGAAATCAAGATCTTAGAAAACTTGCGAGGCGGTCCCAATATAATCACTCTTGCAGATATAGTAAAAGATCCTGTGGTGAGTATGGACAGGATGTAAAGGGTACTTTGGGTTTGTGGGTAAGGTTTGTGTTTCACTTCAGCTCTGATCTGACGTTTTTGTTTTCCTCTGCCCTTAAATCCTGCTTTTGAATCCCTTAATGAGATCAGTTCTTTAATCTGATTAACTTCTTTTAGAGGCCTTTTCCCCCACAGGTCACTTCTGCCCCTCACTCTGTAAGGAAGCAGCAGTGAACTGAGACGTGTTCATTTGTCCTACAGACAGAACTGCAGTGGGCTGCAGACTCTGTTCTGAGGGAAATTGCAACTATGCCTGAGGCAGAGCATTTTTTTTTAAAGGAATTTTAGGAGTTGAAATGATTTAATGCATTATATTGAATGGAAACAGTTTATCTCAACAAGGCTGAACACTTTTCTCTCTGTTTCAGTCTCGGACCCCTGCTTTGGTTTTTGAACATGTAAACAACACAGACTTTAAGGTATAGTATGAGTTCTGACCTTCTGTGTTTTCCATTCAGAAACCACTTGTAATGTTCTGGGAAAAAACTAATATATAGAGGGAAGACAGGTTATTTAATCATTTCCTTCCAACATACCAGTAGTCTTTGAAGATGAATGCACTTGGATAGAAGTTTGTATTTAGTTCCTTAGTACCATTTTACCACGGAAGTTAGAAGGTGAAGATCCAGATTCCTGTGGTATTCTATTTGCTAAAAGCAAATTCATCCGTTACCTTGCAGACCATCAGTGCCTGTGACAGCTTTACTCAAAGTGGGAGCACCTGCCAGTCTGCAGGCATAATGAATTGTGCAGTTGGTGGGCTAGTGCTGAGGGAGTTAGTGACAGGAACCAGAGCAGAGTGTACCTCCTGAGCACGGCTGGAAGTAAGCTGTGTATGTGATTTTATGGGAGAGAAACAGGCTGTGAGTATCTGTGGAGCCAGAGCAACTTGGGAAATGTTCACTGTTCATTCAAATGGGTTTGGAGAATCACATTAGCTGAGGACAGAACTGGATTGTTCTGGATTGGCTCAGTTGTGATATTTTTCTTTGGTGTTGACCACTGATGGGATGTATTTGTTTCCCACAGCAATTATACCAGACATTAACAGATTATGATATTCGATTCTACATGTATGAGATTTTGAAGGTAAGTTGGGCTTTTCCTGTTTTGTTGATTTGTTTCTTAGCTTTGTATTCAGCTGATCCTTTTGAAATGGTTATCTTGTCACTAATGGGGGAAGGGAAGGCCTATGCAAGAATTCGTTTTAAAAATAGACATCAAATCAGTACAGTACCAATTGCTTAACCACGTTTCCACAAGAAATTTTAGTCCCTTAATGAGGATAGCAAAGCCTTCATCTGGATACAACACTGAGAAATCCAGAAATCCTTTTTTTTTTTTTTTTTTGAGTAAATGCAGCAGGTGAAATCAGGCACTTCTTTTGCTGGGACTTCCCTGTGAGAGGGGACTCTAGAGGTCTTTGCTGTGGTCTGTGTGTTTAGTTCTGAATGTATCACTGAACAGTGAAGTCATGCTGCCTAGTTAACCTTGGTATATGCAGAAATACTTCTGAACTTGAAAGGTTCTTGCAACTCCAGCATCTGCTTCTTTGTCACTTACAGGCTCTAGATTACTGCCATAGCATGGGAATCATGCACAGAGATGTCAAACCTCACAACGTCATGATTGATCATGAGCACAGAAAGGTACTGCAGGGCAGGGAAGGGTCCTGCTTTTCTCTTGGCAAAACAGGGATTTATTTTTGGTATTCCCGTGTAGAGGTACTAGCAGACATCTTTGGGAGGGGGGCATAGGGGAACTGTGCTTCCATCACATGAAGAATTTTGAAATCTTGTGAACCACTTAAGATTATTATGGGTTACGTGTTTTGGTTGGGTTGGTAAGGAGAGATTTGACTTAGAGTGGTTGATGGTCTTGGTGTGTGGAGAATATCTAAACAGATACTCTGATCAATTTCAAATTAACTGAACAGAGAGAGCTTGTAAATGAAGCTTTCAGGTAGACTCGTAGCATGATTCAGTAGGTGGAGAGCTGGCACATCCCTTGATGTTTTTCGTTGTTTTCTACCATTTCTAGCTTAGACTAATAGATTGGGGTTTGGCTGAGTTCTATCACCCTGGCCAGGAGTACAATGTCAGAGTGGCTTCCAGATATTTCAAAGGACCTGAACTCCTTGTAGATTATCAGGTAAGAATTACCAGGATTTACCACTGATGTGTATGCAGAAAACCTTGACGTTCCCAGATAGTGTACCAGAAATTCAGGTATTTAGCAACCTGATACTGAAGGTGGTTGTTCTAAAATACATGCAGAAAGCAATGGATATAAAGCCACTGAGTTAAACCAGTGAGTCACCTGAGGACTTGGAGAGCTGATCTTTCATCATGGGTGTTGGAATACAAATGTTGAATTTTTTTTTAATCAAGCCTAGTTGTGCAGTAGGGAACAGAAATGAAGCCAAGTCTTTGTGAGAGTAGCTAACACTGTGTGAACTGTTCACACGGAGTTGAACAGTGGTCTGATAATGAAGATGCATTAATGTATTTGTTCCTGGTGTAATATGGCCATGTTTGCGTTTCAGGAGGGAGGGGGAACCTGTTAGTTTTGGGAGTCTTTTCTGCTGAATTCATTAGAAATTGAATTATCCTTCTGGTTTTGTACAGATGTATGATTACAGTCTGGATATGTGGAGCTTGGGTTGCATGTTGGCTAGTATGATATTCCGAAAGGAGCCATTTTTCCATGGCCATGACAACTATGATCAGGTGAGAGCTGGTCATGTATCTCTCTTCTCTTCTCACAGTGAAGATTTTCTGCTTACGCTTCTATCAAGGAATCCAAAGAAGAATTTAAACATTTTTCATGTTCCTTTCCTTTTTTTTTTTAATCATGCAAGGTCATCTAAAACAGCAAATAGAAATAGTTTTGTAATACTTTGTAGTATTGTAGTATAAAGCTCCTTGGTATGTATCTGGTAAAAGTTATAATCTTGCTTTTATTAAGGCTGGTGTGTTCTGGGATATACAACCACTATTCCTGAGGTTACAGGAAAGCCCCTGAACTATCCATCTTCTAAGTTAGTTATGTTAGGGCACACAGCTTCCTCCAGGCTGCTTTGGGTTACAAAGCCCTTACTGAGTGGGGACACACTTCTGGTGCCTACAGTTATACGTGGGTCATCTCACAGCTCCAACTGCCCCCGTGCCTGCTGTCTCAGACTATGTGCTCCCAAGGGAATATGCTGCAATATCTTTGTGCTGGCTCTGATGTTATTATTCCCTCACAGCACTGACTTATTTTTGTTTGTTCCTAGCTGGTGAGGATAGCCAAGGTGCTGGGAACAGAAGATCTGTATGACTACATTGACAAATACAACATTGAACTGGATCCACGTTTCAATGATATCTTGGGCAGGTGAGCCAAGCTGTGAGGTAGTTCAGAAGATCATGAGCTCTTGGTGGAGTTGGAGCTTGAAATAAACAAAGACTTTTGTTTCAGAGAGAACTGTTACTTTGTGCTTTTGACCCCCTTTGCCAGTGCTTCCCATGCACCTTTATCTGCAGACACATTTGAGGAAAGAGTTTTAAATGTCATTTAGGTTAATAATTGAACTGCCAGAGCATAAAGCATGAAGGGCCAACACTCCTTCCGGTATTGCAGAAAAATGGTTCTCAAGACTGTCATATAGGAAATGAATTTCTGCTGATGGCACTCACATTATTTTCCTCGTAGTTATGTCATGTGTGACGTGTGCCAAAACTACAAGGAAACAATGTTCAGAGTGTAACAGAAGAGCAGAAGCTGAGGCTTCAGGCCTATCCCTTCATTCTGCAACACCTCATGCTGTCATGAAGCATGGCAGCTGTGCCGCCACGTGGTGGCACGGTGTACTGCTCTGCTGTGCTCCAGTTCAGTTCAGCCCCCTTGCTGCTGCAGCAAGCAGTGACGTGTCCTTGAGATGGGCATCTGTTGTAGTCCTGTCTTCAAAAATCGGAAGTCTGGCACCTGTGTGCTCTGCCTCACCTCACTTGGGTGCCTTGTTTTCTGCAGACACTCCCGTAAACGATGGGAGCGCTTTGTTCATAGCGAGAACCAACATCTGGTGAGTCCTGAAGCTCTGGATTTCTTAGACAAGCTGTTGCGATATGATCACCAGTCACGACTCACAGCAAGAGAAGCCATGGAACACCCCTACTTCTGTAAGTAGCAGGTCTTACTACTGTCTGCTGTTCACACAGTTCTTCCTCTGCATTCTTTCCTCTGGGAAATCTCCATCCAAGTAGGTTGTACAGACAGAGCTAAGAATTGCAACGTGAGAAGCCAGTTCTTTGCAAATAGTTGTGCTGGAGCTGAGGCTGCTCGTCTCTGAGGTGGATAAGTAGGCCATTGCCATCTGCAGCAGCTGAGGAAGCAGTGTTGTGTGCCTCTGTCAGGGCAGTGAATCAGCAGCACTGCATTAAAGAATCTTTGCTGTTTAACCTGTGCTAATTTCAGCAGGTGTCTGGATATACGGATTCCTGTGTTTGATGAAACCAGGTAACTCTGCTTTGTTGAGAAACAGGCCCTTTGAAGTCATCTTGTTGCTAAATATGTGCCTTAGTCAGTGGTGTGTTGAAGTCTTGTTTTTTCAGGCAAAAATGAAACTTTCACTAGTAAACGTGAAAAATTAATGCTTAAATGCTTGCAGTTTTCTCAGAAACCTACATACTAAGATTTGTGAGAACAGCTGTATAACAACACAAATATGAATATTTGCTCAGGTACTTTATTTTTCTTGGTGCTGAGCTGACTTCTGTAACAAACAACAGTGTTACGCTTGTGGCAAATGTTCAGCTGAAATGTTTTGCAAATATGAGCATTAGCAAAGCTGAAAGCCATGAAGGAGAGAATTGGGAAACAGCAACATTAATTTGTGTCTAGATGCAGATAAAGGTTGTACCGAAGGCATCATGAGGAAAGGCAAACTTGAAATTACTTCACCTGCTGCAGTAGGCTTGGGAGGCAGGAAGGGGATGTCACAGTTCTGACTGTAGTGCTTTTTACCTGCAGCTGAAGATGGTGAGCAAATTGGATGCATCTTATGAAAGGCAACAGTTATCACTTGGACCTTGTTAGAGTTCACAGCTGTGGGATATGGTTGGCGACATGATTTGTTATCCCCTACGATGTTTCTGCTCACTGCATTCATTTTCTGGGTTTAGTTTAATGAAATATCTGACATAGAAAGGAGATAACTCTGCCATGATTTCAGCTTTTAGTACCAAGCAGTCCTGCTGATCTCCAGACCACGTAATTTAGGCAACTTGTCCTTACCTTCTGGGTCTTTAAGTTACGTTACCTTTGTACCCTGTTGGATGCTCTCCAGCGGAGTTGCTGCAAACTTCTGTGCACCAGTAGATGATGGTTGATATTATCTCTGATGCAGACAGCTTGCCAGCACTGGCTGTTCACTGAGGCCAGGCAGGCAGTGTGCCTCAGCTGCTGTCTGGCAACATGGTGCTTAAGGACAGTGTGCTCTTCCTAGATCCCATTGTGAAAGACCAGGCTCGGATGGGCTCGTCCAACATGCCGGGTGGCAGCACTCCTGTCAGCAGTGCAAGTATGATGTCAGGTCAGTTCTGCCATTGACTCTTCTTGGTGCACGGTGTTTTAATGAGTTTCTGTGAGTTCTGGGAGGGTGAGTTCTGCAGGTGGGATGTTAGGGCACCTCCTAAAACTGATGAAGACAGGGCTAAAAAGATGTGGGTGGGAGAGAGGGAGAACAGGCCTTGCTGCAGGTTGACCTGTTTTTCTGGTCTTGCATTTTATAAAATGCTTTGGAGGTGGAATTTCTGGCAACAGTTGGAAGGACAGTGATGCTACCACATCTGCCTTTTGGTGACACTTAAGTGTGTATAAATTGAGCTTTTTCTGAGAGGCTGCTGAGAACACTTAAAGATCTTTACTCTCAGCTTATTTTGGTAGCTCTGAAAATGTAACAAAGTGACCTGCGAGGATGACTTTTCCTTTAAGAAGAAGCAGAGCTGTCCTGGATATCAGTGCACCCATTTCACTCTAATTCTTGCTTACCTGTCTCTGTTTCAGGGATTTCTTCAGTGCCAACACCTTCACCCCTTGGACCTCTAGCAGGCTCACCTGTCATTTCTGCCACCACCACCCTGGGGATGCCCGTTCCAGCTGCTGCAGGCGCTCAGCAGTAGTGATGGGTTCTGTCTCCTGCTGCCTGAGCTGAGTCAGGTGGGGAAGAGGTTTCCCCCTCCGCCTCTCCTCAGGACGCAGCTCGTGCCTGGCAGGGGAAGGGAGGGGATGAACGCTTTGGAGGCACCGTGTCTGAACTGTTGCTTGTGGATTTATAGTAGTTCAGTCATTATATACAAAATTATTATAGGCTGATTTTTCTTTTTTTACTTGAACTTTTCGTAACTCAGGGGATTCCCTGAAAATACCTACAGATGGAAAATTTCTCGGACAGTTTCCCCTCCCCCCCTCTCCCCCCCAAAAAAAAGTACTCTTCATTTAAGAGCAAAGATGAGTCAACAGCATTTCCAAACTATTGCATCCTGCTGGAAATCTCTTCATGTTCCCACCATTACTCCTCCACAAGCATACACCTTGGGGGATCGTGCTGTTCTCCAGAGACTACCAAACCAAGTCTTCATGAGGCAGGGGAGGGGGATTCTTTAAGTACCACTCACTCACTTTAACCCCATAGCCTGCATATGATCCAGTACACTGAGGAGACAATTCCAGTACGGAGAGGTGGTATAAACTTAAAAGAAGTGCAGATAATGTCTAAAACCCTATTTTGATCAAATCATGTCTCCTTAGGAGCCAAGCAGAATGCCAACTCACCCCCTTGCATGTAATTTTAGTCTTAAAACATAAAGTGACCGATCCAACTGAAGTCCTCTCCACCTCCTGTTAAAGGTGCTGCTTTAGAACCAACCTCTGATCAGCACCTTTCTCGTGGAAGGGGAGGCTTCCTGCCATTGCTTGGCTTGGATCTCTGGAATTAGTTTGTTATTGGGTATATTGTTTTTAAATTGTTGATATAGGTTTCAAGCTGGTGGCAACTTAAAGCTGGAAAAATCAGACTGCGCCAAGTCAGATACCACATCTTCACCCACCATCCCCTCCCTCACGTGCCATGTGGTGAGAATACCAGTTACCTCACAGTCTTGTAAATATGCACTGAGAGGAAGGAGTGAGCAGACTTAACTTAAACTGAAATGGTAGATCAGTAATTGTGGACAAATATTATCATTGACAACAAAGAAGAAAAAAAAAAGCACCCCTGTTACAGCCCTGCTACCCCTTGCTGTGTATATATACTTTGTCCTTCATATGTGAAAGATCCAGTGTTGGAATTCTTTGGTGTAAATAAACATTTGGTTTTATTTATCGAGGTTAGATTTAAGTTCCCTGTGTAGGGGGCTCAGGGGTGGTGTCACACACACACGGACACACACACGCACACCTCCCACCCTGAACCATTGCAGCAGCTGCTGCTTCTGTCCATCGCTCGTTTCTTTGGGGAGTTCTCAACACTTCCTTTCTTCGGGCGGGAGGAGCGGGGCCTGAGAGCAACGTGGCCTCGTCCTGCTGGCTGTGCTGCGTCTTTAAGCACCGACTACGAGCGAACACAACGTGTGACAGTTCGCACAGTGCTGTGAGCGGCGCGGGACCCCGAGCCCAGATCTTTCCTTACTCTGAGTGAGGTTGTTGGGGGGCAGGAGGCTACGGAGCTGCATTTGAAGCCGGGTGAGCATCGCCCACTGCTGCCGTACGGCTCGTTGCGTGTGATCTGCCCCGGCGGGTGGCCGGGAGGGCGTTGTGCCGCGGAGCCGCGTCACGTTTTCACATCGTTTTGCCGTAAACCCGAAGGCTCGCAGGATTGGGGCCGGGCCCGGAGCGGCACACGTGCTTCTCGACTTCGTCTGCGCATGCGCACGTTCGCCCCTCCCACGTGCCACCGCCACGCGGCCGCGCCTGCGCACTGCAGCGCCGTGACGTCACACCCGCGCGCCGCCGGCGGAGGGGCGGGGGAGCGGGTGGGGGCGCGGAAGGGACGGGACCGGACCGGGCGGTGCGGGAGCGCCCAGCCCCAACCCGGCCCGGCCGTCGGCCCGGCATGCGCCGCAGCGCCCGGGAACAAACATGGCCCGGCGGAGCCCGCCGCGCAACGGCGTCGGCGGCCACGGTACGGCCCGGCCGGGCCTACGGCGGGGGGGGCAGCGCCTCCTCACTGAGGGGAGTGGGCTGGGGGCGCTTGAGCGCCACCTCGCGGGCGCTGGGTGGGGTCGCTGGCAGCGCGCCCCCATGCGGCGGGGCGGGGCGTTGTGGCGGGGGGACATCGGGGGGCGTTTGGCTCCGGGATGGGGCACCGCGGGGTGCGGCCGTTGGGGACTCGTCGGTGTCGTGTGTGCGAGGGAAGGGAAGGGAAGGGAAGGGAAGGGAAGGGAAGGGAAGGGAAGGGAAGGGAAGGGAAGCTGCGGTCACCGGGGGCTTGCTGGATGTTTTAAGGTTGGTGCTGCGTTCAGAGAGAGCTGAAGCTCTCCCGCAGGCTGCTGTGGTGGGTTTTCATCCAAAAAGTGTTCCAAAAAAGATGCTCAGCGCTCACCGCCTCGCTGTGTGGCTCCTGTGCGTCCCACGAGCACCGGGGACAGCAGGAGGTGGGCGTCAGGGAGAGTCTGCCCCACCCGGCTCCTCCCGGCCCACGTCCTCTGCAGTTCCTCAGTCGGTGGATCCCGGTTCCATGAGCAGTGGGAGCTGCGTCCCTTGGAAAAGCCCTCAGAGGAAGGGCGGTGTTGGCAGCCTCACCCTGCACGGCCCTTCAGAGCCTCTGTGAGCAGTGAGATGGGAGCTGCGTGTTGCGTGGAGTAGCCCTGAACTGCCTCCCTGCTGCCCACCTGAGGCTGTGCTGACCTGCACCATGGGCGGGGTGAAGCAGTGCCCTTCCTCAGCCCCACACTAAATGCTCCTGTGTGCCATCTGTGTATTTAACCCATGTGAAACCCACCCTCTGCGTGCGTTATTCTCTCCCCTCCCTGCCCCAGAATCCCTGTGCTCTACAAAGCAGTTCCTTTAATAGCAGCTCGCCTGCACAAGGCTAACAGCTAGCAAGTTTGTGTTTGTTGGGAGGTAAGTCAGCACACTGCGATGCATGTAACTGGTTTAAACCCTCCTTGGGACAACTGCTGTCAGTAGTTCAGACCTCTCCCCTGGGCTGATGGTAGCCAGGAGCTGCTGCCCCACCAGGAATCAGCAGGAACATGAGGCCCAGGTGTTACAGAGTGCACAACACCTGAGCTGGGGCTGAGTCAGCCCTTCCTGGAGTGGAAACAGTTACAAAATGGCTCCGTGCTGCCATCACGGTCCTGTGTGGAGCTGTGATCTGATGAAGGTGACGAACAGCTCTGTGGCTCTTCTGTGTCAGCGGGACAACCAGTGCTGAGCCTGCGCTGGTCACAGTGCGGGTTGTCCATGGTCTGTCCCAGCAGGGCCTGTGCTGATATGTCCTGTTATCTTGCTTTGTGCTTTTCTTGCAGACTTTGACTCTAAGAAGAAAAGAAAAGTGGCAGAAATTTACCAGGCCCTGAACAGCGACCCTATTGATGTGGCAGCACTCAGGCGAATGGCCATCAGTGAAGGAGGGCTGCTGACTGATGAGATCCGCTGCAAAGTGTGGCCAAAGCTGCTGAGTGTCAACACAGATGACCTGCCCCCCCTGCCAGGTACAGGGCAGCCCAGACAGGGTTCTGATGAGAGTCTTTCTGCTTTAAGTTTTCTCTGTGCATGCTGGAGTGCTTCCCATTGAGCTCACACAGAAAGGGACTCATGCTGCACAATGAACGCCGTAGGCTGTGTGCTCTGTATCGTGTGTAAATGGCAGATCAGGAAACAGAGGGCTTCCTAAAACAACGTTTCTGTTGTTCTCTGGAGGTGTCGTTATCTTCAGTGACAGTGCTAGAAACAAGTTTGCTTTAGATGTGGTTCTTGTGGCACTGTGTGGTTGGTTGGCTCACATACGTCAGTTAGTAGCAAGAAGTGTCAGGCTGGTTTTGGTCGCTCTTTGGTGAGATGGCTGTACTGAGGAGTGCTGGGATGGGATGTGCTGAGCTGTCTGCCAGCTGCAGGTGAGGCAGTTTGTGTGAAGCCTGCATGTTTGCTCAGAAGGGAAGGAGGAGGAATGACCTGCGTGATGTGACACCTGCATGCCTTTAAACCTCAGTGGTTTAGGAGCTGGAAGTCCTGCAGCTGTCACAGTCACTGCCCCCAGGGACAGGTTCTGTTGTTGCTCCTGAATTTGTGGTCATTCAGAAGTATCCCCATGTCAGTCAAGAACTGGATAATGGTAGGTGATCAGAGCTGCTGGAAGACAGCGTTGCATTTCATGTGACAGCATAGGTAGTGTGCCAGCAAATTCTTTTCACTTCTGTTAGAGCTCTCTTAGCTACCAATGGGTGTTTGCTTTTTTCCCTCTGAATTATTTCTTTCAGCCATTCTTCACTGCCTCCACAGCATGTTGTGCCTTGCTGTTGCTGAGCGTGCAGTGAATTTCACAGCAAGATTGCGGAGCTAAGATATTTCCAGGAACTCTGGGAGTGGTGTCAGTTTAAGCATTTTAACATACGTTGTTTAAATAATTGCCTTGTTTCCTTGCCCAGGATTGCTGTTTGTGCAGCAGTGAAAGTGAGAGGACAGGGCTGGTGTGTGACGTACAGAGAATGGGATGGGGGTGTTGTGTGGCCTCATCCTCCTGGCCATTTCCATCTCCCAGTGCTCTTCCTGGTACCTTTGCACTACTCCACAGTTACCTACTTCCTCTTTTCTTTCAGCAGGAAAGGAGCTGCGGGAGGACAATAAGGATTACCAGCAGGTGTTACTGGATGTACGGCGCTCCCTGCGGCGCTTCCCACCAGGTGAGAGGGGCTCACAGCGAGTGCCTGACCAGCGCTGCAGGGAGGCTGACCTCCAGAAAGCCTCCTTGTGTCAGCTTACAGCAGCTTCTTTGCACAGTGGAGCTGTTCCACAGCTGGTGGCTTCCTCCAGCCCCTGCCTGGGCTGCAGCTGGGGCCTGATGCTTTTCTCCCAACTTATACTTCCCTGTCCATGCTGAGCCCCTCTGTGTTCAGTTCTCTGTTGTTGAATGGTGTCAGCCCAGAGATGTCTGATCCTGCACAGCCCTCACCTGTTGTGAACAGGGTGAGATTAGGACTGATGGAATGCTTGAGAAATTGACCATTTGCTTCAGTGTATTTCAGACAGGGGATTGTGCCCAAGGGGTGTGGAAGGCAGATCTGTTAGTTGGTAGAGCAGATTGCTTTACAGCAGTCCCCACGTCAGCTTTCTCTCAGTGGTTCACACACCAAACTGAAGAGAAGTAACCTTTAGAAGCAGAAGGTTTCTGCAGTTGTTTAGTTCTGAAGGGTGGCTGCTGCCTTGTTGTGCTATTTATAAAGCAAGTAATCCAGCAGCTATCTAACTCTGCAGAGCAGCCGTTGTTCCTGGCCAGGATCTGCATCCCCCTTGTGCTGCTTTTATTTTGCATAAACACTTGATTCACTCTGATTCTCTTTTGGATACTGGCTGATTCCTGAAGGCTCTGCTGCTGCTTCATTTGTTTGTTTTTGCCCTTGAATGGCAACCTCCTCCTGCCTATTTTTAGAAGCATCAGTGAAATAGGGGAAAAGGAGAACTTTGTCATTGCAGGATCTCCTCTGGGACGTTCTGCTTGGCTGTAGGGCATTTTCTCTGTTGACAGGGACTGCCAAAAAAACAGCTGCAGCTGTGCATGGCAGGAACAGTGTTTTTCCCGTGACATCCTGTCCCTAAACACATGTTGTGAGCAGAGGACCAATATAAAATTGTGGTGATTGAGGCCTCGCAATCTGATGCAGCTGGCACAGTTTCTGTGAAAACTCAGTCCTGTTTAATTTTTTCTGGAGCCCTTGGGAAATTAAAAATGATTAAAATGTCCTTAGCAGTGCTGGATATGCAGTGCAATTTGCTCCTCACAGAACTGTACAAACACCCTTAAGCCCACCCCTGTCATCCATGGTGACTTCCTGGCAGGTAGGGACGCTGCAACTCCAAAGGTTAAGCAGGCTCACAGCTGGTTGGCTTCTCCAGGCCATCAGGGACAGCATTAGGAACCTGGGTCTTTCACAGCTTTCTCAGCCCGTTCCCCGTTGTCCCACATCCTTTGTGATAAGGCTGGTTGATAAACATGCAGGCAGGGAGCAGCGGGTGATGCAGCCCATCACAGCGGTGCCTTATCCCCACAGGGATGCCGGATGACCAGAGAGAGGGGCTGCAGGAAGAGCTCATTGATATTATCCTCCACGTCCTGAAGCGCAACCCACAGCTGCACTACTACCAGGGCTACCACGACATCGTGGTCACTTTCCTCCTGGTGGTTGGGGACAGGCTGGCCACAGCTCTGGTGGAGAAGCTCTCGACGCATCATCTCAGGTACTCAGAGACTCAACCAAGGGAGAGGAGCTGCTGTGCCCTGTGACTGTGGGGGCAGAGGGGTGGCCTGTCCTGAAGCAGAGCCCCATTAGGGCTGGCTGCTCTGTATGTCTGCACCCAGGAGGCGCTGCTGGAGATGGCACGTGGATTTGCAGGCAGTTGTGCTCTGAGGAAGGGCTAACAGCTGTCAGTTAGTTTGTATTATCTCTTGAAGACGAAAAAGCAGCACACATGCATTACTCGTGGTTCTGCTGGCCATGTGTCCTGTCAGGGCCTCTCTGGCTCCTAGGGCTCAGCGTAGTGCTTCCCACTTAGCCTTTATAGAGCCCTGGGAAGTTTCTGCTGAAACTGTGGTCTGTATAGCCAGTATCCTAAGCCCCAGGTTAAGTGCCTTTCCTCTTTGGGCATTGAAATGAGAGCAAGTCTTCAAGTCGGTGAGTGCTCTGGAGGGATTTTGTCTTCTCTCCTGTGTGACAAGCTGAAAAAACTTTAGGGCTCATGTGTACAGCAAAGAAAGAAGTGTCCATTGACACCACCGTGATTGTCTGGGTCCAGGTTTTGTGTGCACACAAGCTCTTTGTGACCCAAATTAGTAGGCAGGGATCTGTTACAAATAAATAGAATTCCCTGGGACTGGGAGCCACTCTACCAGCAAAACTGTTTATTGCAAGTACATTTATTTACTTCCTGTGTGCCTCACTGGAGGAGAACTCACTGATGTTATTTCTTGACAGAATTCTTTTTAAATCTTTTCTCAGGGATTTTATGGACCCAACAATGGATAATACCAAGCACATTTTGAATTACCTGATGCCCATCATAGACCAGGTGAACCCTGAGGTGCATGACTTCATGCAGAGGTACGCAGACGTTCCCTGGCTCTGCCCTACCTTTCTCACATTATTGTACTTGGGGCCATCTGCACCAGCCTGTCCCCAGCACCACGGTGGCTTCTTGTGAGTCAACAGCTGGCCCACAGCTCATGGCAACAGTCCAAAGCCACGTGGCACCCTGCTTACAAGCAGACCCAAACATGCTGCCTATCCTGGGGGCTTTTAAATGATGATATCTTCACCCCAGCGGTCTGTGTTGAAGAAGCTGGGGGTTGCATTACTTTGCATTCCGTGTCATACAGAGCTGCCACAGTTTGCAGTTGCTGTTGCATCTCTGTGGTTTGTTGCTAGCTCTGGGGATAATTGCCTGGTTGTGCAGTAGGGATGCAGAAGTGTAGTGTGAATAGAATAAAGCAGAAGTGAGGAGGTAAGTCAAAAGGTTCTATGCATAGTCCTTTTCTGGGCAACTGGCTGTTAGCATTTCACAGCCAGCATGTCTTCGGGTATCAAGCTTGCAAATTCTAGAGCAGTGCTAAGTTTCAGAGTTGAAAAGCTTTTGAAAAGCTGGCTGTGCTTTAGCAGTGTCTCCAAGCTGCCAGCAGCAGCTGACCTAACCATGTTTCTCTCTGTGCAGTGCGGAAGTGGGAACCATCTTTGCTCTCAGCTGGCTCATCACGTGGTTTGGGCACGTTCTGTCTGACTTCAGGCACGTCGTGCGATTATACGACTTCTTCCTGGCTTGCCATCCACTGATGCCCATTTATTTTGCTGCTGTGGTACGTATTGGCTGGAATGCTGGCAGGGGATGCACTGAGCCATTGCAAGGTGCTGAGGGGCTGCAGAGAGGGTCTGGCACTGCTGGTGCTCTGCTGTCCTCTGCGTTTCTCTTCCCATCTGGGCACTGTCTCAATGCAGTGTATCCCCTGAGGAAGGGCAGATCTTTCAGACAGAAGTGAAATGTTTTTCTCTTCTGGCCCTGAAGTGTCAAAGAGCGACAAGGAGCTGTCACTGTTTCCCTGGCTGTGCTCAGTGCTCTCTCTCCTCTGCAGATTGTGCTTTACCGGGAGCAGGAAGTTCTGGACTGCGAGTGCGACATGGCCTCAGTGCACCACCTCCTGTCCCAGATCCCACAGGACCTTCCTTATGAGACTCTGATCAGCAGAGCAGGGGACCTTTTTGTTCAGTTTCCTCCATCTGAGCTTGCCAGGGAGGCAGCACAGCAGCAGGCTGAGCGGTGAGTACAAGGAGGCCTCAGTGTGGGAGCTGTGCCTGGGTTCTGCACCTTGCCCTGGCCGAGTCTCATTGCCTGGTGAAGACCTCCCTGCCCAGATGGGAGGCTCTAGGGCACTTCGTGACCCATTTCTTCTCTTGCAGGACCGCGGCTTCCACTTTTAAGGACTTTGAGTTGGCATCAGTGCAGCAAAGACCAGACACTGTGTTGAGACAGCGCTTCAGGGAGAGGCTCCGAGGGGAGGAGCGGACAAAATCCATTTTGACAAAGCCAAGGACCAACCGTTTTGTCAAGCTGGCAGTGATGGGGCTGACGGTGGCACTGGGAGCAGCTGCCCTGGCTGTGGTGAAGAGTGCACTGGAGTGGGCACCCAAGTTTGAACTGCAGATTTTCCCCTGAAGCCAAAGGAAGTGCTTTCCTTGTTGTCACATCCCACGTCGACACGGAATGATGTTTGGAAGGACGTGTCTGGAAACAACCTGTCTGAAGAGTTTTCTATTCTTGCTGCGTCCCGTGATGCTCTTGGCCTTTGTGACAGAGACTGATGGGAACCAGTCCAGCAGGATTGTTCCCCACACCAACACTCACCTTGTTTTCTCCTCCCCGTGCAGGGGCAAGCAGATGGACACTGCCACTGTACGGATGAGTCTGACTCTTCAGCCTTGTGCAAGTGACCACAAGTGGTGAGCTGTGCACGGGCTGTGCCGAGGCAATCCCACATCCTCTATTGGGGATAATCAGTGGGAGCGAGGGCGTGTGCTCACCTAGGGGAGAGTTTCAGGGCAGGGTTTGGCCTGCTTAGTGGTGAGGGGCTTGTACATGCTCCTGTGGAATAGAGGAGCCCTCTGGCTCTGTATCACTGGCTGCCAGGGCAGCCTGCCTTCTCCATTTGCATTCACCAGTGCTCTGACCTTTCTCTTTCCTTACAGGCAGCCTCTCAGTAGAACCAAACCTGTACCAAGCCCCTGTCAGCACCCTGCCATGAGGTCATCTCCAATGCATAACAATTTGTGATTCCACTTTCTTGTTTGTGGACTGGTCAGCTTGCAGGGGACAGGTCCAGCGGGGTCCTCTTCTGGCAACAGCAGCACAGTCGTGTATCAGGTCAGTGAGGTGATTCAGGCCTTGTTCATCCTGCCTGTGCCAGATCCCATCACAAGCATTAGCAGAGCTGTTAACACTGCTGATTTTCACAGCTCGGGGAGCAGACTCCAAAGTGGAGAATGGCTTTTTTTTTACAGTTGGAAACAGTTTGCACAGGACAAAAATCTGCTGCAGACATCTGTCATAATTCTCCCCTACGAGCTGATCAGATTCAGTGACTCCCCTCAGAATAACACAGATGAGGGATTTCTCAGAAAGGCCACCCCAGTGCTGCGTACCCCACCTGGCCCAGCCTTGCTGCTCCCTGCCTGCCAAGAAAGCTCTGCAGCAAATTCTGCTCAAGAGCTCTGTATCCCACTGACACAAAGCCAATAGACACTCTATGCCTCTACCTCCCCCCTGAACTGCTAAACCTCCCACAAGTGCCCTTACCTGCCCTGACTGGTTCCCACCCAGCTGCCTGCCCCTGCTGTCTTGTGCCCAAAGCCATCCGTGCTGTGCCCAGGGGCTGCACACCTGAAAAGTAGATGTTGGTTGAAGAGTTGTAGATTTCTGGTTGTAGAAGGAAGCTCATGCCCTGCAAGGCTCAGCACCCTCCTATCCCTGACCACCTGTGTGCAAATTCATCACCACATCCATGCAAGTTTTGGATTGCCCCATGGGCCCTCGCTCTGTGACGCAGGTAGGGAAGCAGGACCTGGGCCCTCACCTGTGTTGGCATCTCCTGGTCGTGCCACTTACTGGTGCCAGCACCAGGGCTCTCTCTGCCTCTCCTGAGGGCTGGTGGCTGTTTCCATGGCAGAAGGCAGAGTGCTTTCCTGCACGTGTGTGGACTGGCACTATGGGGCAGCAGCAGCCTCTGTCAAGGCAGTAACAGTGAGGGAAGCAGGCTGTGACTTTGCACTTTAGAAATTTGTGGTACCAGAGTTTGTGGTGGCTGTGCCACGAGCTGGAGGTGCTGCTGGGGGTCCCGTGCCACTCCTGGGCAGTGCAGTGCTTGGATGCCCTCTGCCCTCAGGTGAGGGGTGTGTGGGGCACAGAGCCCTCCTGCAGCCCCCTGCTCTCTGCCCACCGTGCACTTTAGTTCCTGCGTTGCCCAGGGGAAGGGTGAGTGAGGAGGTGGTCTCTTTGGGTGCTCCAGTGACTCTGTACAGACTTGTACATACCTGTGTAAATGCAGATTTGTACAAACCCTATTGCTGTAAAATAAACAGTTACTAAACGTGTTTCTCCTCCTGTGCCACCAGGGGCTGGTGCTGCCATGCACTCTGGTGCCACGTCCCATCCCGCAGCAGCCAGGGCAGCGTGGGAAGAGGAGCAGGAGCCAGCTGGGTGCCTTTGTGCTGCTGCCCTCCCTCTGCCCACGGCTCTGGAATGCCAGCATGCGCTTTTGCCCTTGGCTCTCCCAGCCTTCCCCACGCCAGCAGCATGGCTGGCAGCACAGGGATGGAAATAGCCTGACCCAGCAGCCCATTGTGTGCCTGGGGCTGGCTGCCCGGCCAGGAGGAGATCCCACGCTGCTGGGCACTGTGCCCCTCTGTGGTGTCCCTGTGCTCTGCATGAGGCTGGTGGCCGTGTTTACCAGCTCAGCCAGGGTTATTTTTAGCTTGCTCTGACTTCCTCTGGAGGAGCAATTTTCTTAATAGTGCCCTCAGCCCTTCAGAAGGAATGTGAAAGCAGAGGCCCTGCGGCCCCTTCCTCAAGGAAGCAAGGGATGCTTGGGGGTTCTGTGGGCTGGAGAGCTGCATCTGGGAGCTGCACAGACCTCTTGGTGGGCTCAGTCCCTTGTGTTGGCACAGGGCTGTTCCCAGCCTGGCAGGGTATTTGTACTCAGTTGTCTTCACTGAGGAAAAGAAAATGATCTTGGGTGTTGTGCAGCAACCCTTGGGGCAGTGAGGGGCAGGTGGGTGTCTGTGCCTGGCAGTGCAAGCTCTGTGTTGTAACAGCCCTGCCCAGCTCTGATGCACTGCTGCTGCAGCACGCATCCCCCATACACAACACTCATTGCCCCGGAGCTGAGCCTCAGCAGCAAGAACAGCCCACAGCCACGCATCTTTTATTCACCCCAGAAAGAGCAAAATGAAGGAAACCAAGGCGGGTGCGGAACGTCTGCTCCATCCCAGGGGCTGCAGTGTGGATGAACGCGTGGGGCTGCAGGGCAGGGTGCTGTGCTGGGGGCAGAGCTCCCACTGCAAGCTCCTGGCAGCATCGGGCATTTGCAGCTGGTGGCTGTGCCTGTCTGTCCCCATGGCTGGGGAGCAGGTGGAGGAGCTGCAGTCCTCTGCTGGGGTGTCCTGGGCCAGGACCTGGTGGTGGCTGACGGTGCACAGGACCCTCGCAAGTGGGGGATGGCACTGATGGCAGTGAGTCCCCGTGGCACAGCTGGGATCCAGGGTCGGCCATCTGGGTGCCAGGAAGGGGTCCAAGGTGGGATCTAGTTGAGTCCAGGCTGGATCTGAGCTGAGATCAGATTGTGTCAGGCCAGGATCAGGGCTTTGCTGGGCAGCTGCCTGCTCCATCCCATCCCATTGCATCCCATCCCATCCCCACCACATCTATGAACTGGGTTGCAGCACCCCGGCCCAAGCAGCCTCCCCTCCTCCCACCCTGCCCACCCCCACCCATGCAGCCTCAAGCAGGGGATTTCCCAGCATTTTACCTAGCAGCAGCAGTGCACCCTGTGCACTCACACCTCCTGCCGGGGCTGAACACCGTGGAGCTGGGAGGCACCGAAGGGCACCATGGGGCCCTGGGGGCTGCTCTGCAGGATGGGTGACAGCTGCTGTTCGTCTTCTTGGGGGCCACCCCGACCTCTGCCCAGCACACAGCAGAGCAGCCCCACAGCACCCAGCACTGCAGCTGTGATGCACAGCGCCGTGCCCAGCAGCCGGCACACACTCAGCACGTGGTTGTAGCGCATGGCCTGCACGTCCAGCACCACCAGATCCTCTTCCTCGATGCCCTCCAGCCTGGGGGGCACCAGCCAGCCTGTGGTCAGGGCGGCCATTCCCACCAGCAGAAACAGAGTGCCTGTGGAGAGGGTCACCTGGGAACAGGAATGGGGAGCAGGTCAGCCTAAAGGAGTGCATGGCAGGTGTTGGGATGTATTTCACACAAGATGAGAGGGAAGAAAAAATTGGGGAGGGGGGGGCATCTCTTACCTTCCAGATAATGGAGGGCCATACACCTTGGGGATGGGAAGGTGAAGACTCATCTGTGCCCCCATCAGGGCCGGCCCCGGTGCAGTCCTCATAGAAGAGGTGGAGGTAGGAGCGCACCCCGTACCACTTCCCCTGTGCCACGCTGGGGCCGCGGCTGCAGCTGCAGGAGGGCTGCAGGGTGGGCATCTGGCCTGGGGGGGGTCATGAGGGGGAGTGATGCATCACCTGAGCCCTCCCCACAGCCACAGCACCCAGAGAGCTGAGCCCTCCTCTGGGCACAGGGCAGGGGGTGGGGTGCCAGATGTGCCCTCCTGCCCATTCTGGGGTGCACTGAGAGGGATCCCCACTTCTGCCTGGGAGAGCGAAGCCCTTATGGGATGCAATAGGGGAGGGGGCACTCCGTGCCCTGCCTGATCTGGGACAGACCCAGCAGGATCAGGACCCACACCAGCATCAGCCCACCCACAGTAGCAATGTGGATGGAGGGGTGGCGGCGGGGAGGGACGTGGCCTCCTCCTCGTGTCCCCATGGCTGGGGGGCTGCTGGGTGCAGGGACGCAGCCACCGCAGTCAGAGCGCCGTGTCCCTCCCCGCCGCCATAGGGACATTGCCATGGGAACTGCCTGCTCAGCCCTTCGTCACTGCGTCCCTGCAGCGTGCTGTGTGAGAGGGGGGAGATGACGTGTGGGACCCTTTCGGTGCTGGGCTGTGATGCTGAACAAAGCCTGGCGCCAGAGAGGCCTCACAGGGGGAGCAGCAGTTCCCCATTGCTGGGGACATCCTGGTGCCACAGCCCCAGTGAAGCCGCAGGGTCCTTCTTGCATGCAGAGGGTGCTGCCTGGGTTTGGGAGGGACATCCATCCTGCATCCAATACACAGCATCACCCCTACCTGCTCCCTGCTTACCTGGGGGGGGGTTCAGCACATCCTTCCCTGTCCCAGCGTTGTCACCAGCAGTGCTCACGTCGCTGTCCCCGTCTCTGTGTGGGATCCCACAGCCGGGACCCAGTGATCAGAGCACACTCCCTGCTTCCCAAGGGGGGTTTGGGGCAGTGTGAAGGGAGCAGTGTGACTCCTTCCTGCACGGCTGAGAGCTGCCACCGCCTGTGAGCCGCTGCTGTGTGTGACTCAGAGCGGGGCTGGCGGTGGGGACACGTGGCTGTGCGGGCAGCACTGGGTGCTCAGCAAGGCCAGGCTGGACCAGGAGCATCCCAACACACTGCTGTGTCGTGGGGTCACTGTGCAGAAGCCCAGATTCACAGCCGAGAGCTGCCACATGCCTGGGTCACAGCCAGGCTGCTCAGTGCTGCTGGGATTGCAGGCAGAGGCACCTCCATGTCTCACAGTGGGTGTTGTCCTGTCCTGTGTCTCAGCAGGGCCAGCCCCTCCCCCAGCAGGGATGGGAGGGCAGGTGGTACCCAGGGATGCTGTGGTACCCAAGGATGCTGCAGGCTCCCTTGTTGCCGTGGCAACAGCTGGAGGGGGGAGTGATGCAAGCACTGTGTGCCCTCCCCCCAAGGCCCCATCCAGTGGGGCCAGATCAATGCCTGCTGCCACACTATGGAGCCTATGGGGCTGTGTGAGCACATTCATGCGTGGAGCACACAAACAGAGCACACAGTGCTCATGGATGCACAGCACGGTTGTGCACACACAGGTACAGCCTGCGTGGGTTGGTATTGGAACACCACTGAGTGCTGGGACCCACAGGTCGGTAGTGGAACCCCGTGGAGTTGTATGGGAGCCACTGCGTCTGAACCAGAGCTGGGTTCTGACCCCCGGAGCCCCACATCCCTGGGTTGTCCCCATGTTTGTGCAGGTTGGGGAGGCGTAAGCGGCGCAGGAGGAGCCGGAGCCACGTGGAGCAGACCAACACACTTTATTCCATAGTCACAACACTGGGATAACCACTAGCCGAGCTTCCACACCACCGGCCCTGGCCTTGCCATCGGGGTGGCCACGGGTGGGACATCCCCTCCACCAGCCCAAGACAACAGCTGCAGGACCCCTCCCCAACACAACCAAAGGAACCCCGAGTGCTCACGGCAGCTCCGGCCCGCTGGGATGCCGCCAGGGCGGCTTCTTCCTGAGAGAGGTTTGGTTTATTTTATTATTATTATTATTATTATTTTTTTTTCCACTTATTATTAATTATGATTCGCTTTGTCTCTAGTGATGAGGATGGCGCACGCACACTCGCTCGCACACTGGGGGAGGGGATGGGGGCTCGGCGGGACGGACAGGGGGGCTTCTATGCACTACAACCACATAGCACAGAACATCCACCAGGAGGGCCACGACGGGTGGGGGGGACGGGGACCACGCGCACGGTGTTGTGCTTGAGGCCGGGCTCGGGGGGGGGCTGAGCCAGAACCTGTCCTGAGGAAACGCCAGGGATGCAGCCCCGCACCGTGGCCTCGGGCCCTGCCGGTATTTGGGGTTTGGCTCCCCGCGTGGGACGTGGCGGCGGTAGGGGGCTCTGATGCCCCCAGAAGGCAGCGAGGTGTCGGGTGGGAGCTGTGCGCCGGGGAAGCCCTTCAATGAACCCCAAACCCGGTTTGTGCGTGGAGCCCCTCGGCATTTGGCTTTTCTGCTGGGTTGGAGTGGAAAGAGAGGGTCTGTGGGGTGGGGGGATGCTCTCTACATGGGGACACCCGCACCGGGGCTACTAAACACCGTTGGGAACGCAACACCAGACACACGCACACCACAGCTACCTCTACACACCTACACATCGATAACGCTGAGCTCACGGCTCCGCAGCCCCGCAGGCACTGGGGCAGGAGGGCACCCGGTGCCCTTCAGCGGGGACACAGCGCTCCCTGCGGCACCTCCGGCGATGCCAGCAGCCCCACATCGCTCCCCATAGAGGGGGACAAAGGGGCTGAGCATGCCCTGCTCGTGGCTCCATCCAGCCCCATTGCAATGGGGCTGCGTGCAACCGGAGGAAACGGCATCCCCCCAAAGCGGGGACGGGTAGGGTTAGGGGGATCCTTCGTGCCCAGATTCCCACTTTGGAATCGGGGATCTCAGAGGCCGCTTCTGTGCCACACAGACGTGGGATGGAGCCCCGCGTTCCCCGCCCTGCCGGCACCACAGCCATGTGCTCACAGACAGCGGGAGGAGGCGGATTGCTGCAGGAAGGAACCATTGGGGAAAGCAAAGACAAACGCGGCCGGAGGAGCGCTGCAGCAGGAGCTGCCCTGCTGGGGAGCTCTGCAGCGCTGCTCTGAGGTGAAGCCCAGGCTCTCGGAGCCAACACCGGGTGCACCACAGAGGATCGCTGCACCGGAGCACCACCCGCACCCCACATCTCCACCAGCATCAGCTGCTGGTGGTGGTGGTGGCCCCGTGCGAGAGCTTAAGGCAGATTTCCTGCAGCACGAGCTCCGCCAGCCATAGGGGATGAGCCCAGAGTGGGTCCCATGCAGGCATGGGCACCCCATGCCGGGGCGTTAATGCCAGGCAGGCTGCCCTACAGCACGGGCTCACGGTGCGGGTGGCTGTGCACAAATGTCTGGAGAGAGGAATAACGCAGCCTCCCCGCGCCACGTGCGGATCACGTGCGTGCAACTTCGCTCTGCCCCAAACCGAATGGCGGGGAGAACGCGGCGCAGCCAAAACGCAAGGAGAGAGCCGGGTCCTGAGGGAACCCCAAACCCAAAGGCGGGGACCCAACAGCACAGGGCAGCAGGTAGGGAGGGATTGAGATGGGTTGTGTCACCAAGGAGAGCCTCGGGCACGGCGTGGCCAAAGGTAGCGCTCCCAAAGGGCTGCTATGAGGAACAGGAGAGAATCGAAGACGTGCTTTCTATGCAATCCAAAAAAAAAAAAGCAAAATAATAATAATAACGATGATGATGATAATAAAGGAAATTGGCTGTTCTCCAAGGGATGGGCGAGTGGGAGAGCTAAGGAGGAGAAAATGGGGCAGCGCGAGGCAGGGACAGAGCTGCAGGGGGAAGGGGTCGGGCAGGGGGTGCTGACAATGGGACCCTGCCAGGCAGTCGCCTTTCATGGGTGAAGAACGGCAGCGTGCCGTGCAGCGAGGAGGGCTGAGCCCTGCACTGCCATGGATGGATGGATGGAGGAGGAGTGGGTGTGTGCCGGGGGGGATGGGGGGAGCAGGGAGCTCTGCCTTCCAGCGGCTTCAAGGCTAAATACCTGATTCCTGCATGTAAACAGCTGGTTTCGGTTTTTTTTTTTTTTTTTTTTTTTTTTTTTTTTTTTTGAGACGACCTGATTGTGGGAAAAGAAGAGGAGTTACCTGCAGAGCGCGGCACTCAGTAGGTAAAGACCAAGTCCGAGATGCTGGACATGAGCCAGTCCCCCGCGATCATCTCCGTCACCTCGGGCGTGCAATAGTCCGGGAATTCGAAGTGCGAGGACGCGCCCCGCGGGAACAGATCGAGGTCCTTGTCCAGGACGGACCAGTCCAGAGCCCCGCACGCTGTGCCACCCGGTGCCCGCGCGGGCAGCACGCCCAGCAGCTCCTCCTCCAGCTCCTCGTCCGAGGAACCCAAGGAGGACGGAGGCGAACCGGCGGGTGCGGGAGATGGGGACGCGCTCTCCGGGCGCGGCTCGGGGCTGGTGGCGGCCGCGGGGCTGCGTTCGCCGGTGGGCACCGCGTTCCACGTGGCCGTGCCGGGGCGGTCCTCGACGGGCGGCTCCGGCGGGCGCTGCGCGATGCCCGGCTCGGGGGGCGGCTTGGAGGGCTGCCTGCGGGCGGCGGGGACGCGGCCCAGCACCGAGGGTTTGATCTTCACCGGGAGACGCGGGCGGGCGGTGGCGGCGCCCACTTTGCCCTTTTTCCGAGGGCGGTATTTGTAGTCGGGGTAATCGGCCATGTGCTTGAGGCGCAGGCGCTCGGCCTCCTTCACAAAGGGGATCTTCTCGGAGTCGTGCAGGAGCTGCCAGCGCCGACCCAGGCGCTTGGAGATCTCGGCGTTGTGCATGTCGGGCCACTGGTCCATGATCTTGCGGCGCTCGTGCTGCGACCACACCATGAAGGCGTTCATGGGCCGCTTGATGTGACCGCTGGGCGTTTTGCACCAGGCGGGTTCCGCGTCGTGGGCGGGCAGAGGAGCGCAGGGCTCCCGCCGCCCCTCCGAGCCCCTTCCCCGCATGGCTCGCTGCACCATGTCGGGCCCCCCGGCGCCCCCCTTACCGCCGCCTCTCCCTCCCCGCCGGCCGCTACGCGCCGCGCCGCGCCGCCCCCATTGTGCGGAACGGGCGGCGGCGGCGGGGCGGGGCGCGGGGGGCCGCGGAAGGACCCGGGGGGGCACGGCTCCGCGGGGGCGGTGGCTGCGGGGCGGCTCCGGTGGAACCCCGGGATGCGGCGGCTCGGGGATGCGCTGCAGCGCTCTGGGGATGCTCTGAGTCCGGGGATGCTCTAGGGATGCTCTGGGTCCGGGGATGCTCTGGGTCAGATCGGATCGGATCGGGTCGGGTCGGGTCCGCTCCGCACTGCCCCGGAGATGCGCTCGGTTCGGGGATGCGCTCGGTCCGGGCGGGTTGCGGGTCCGGGGCGGTGCGGGCAGCCTTGTAGCCGCACGCCCCTTTCGCCCCCAGTACGGCTCTTATAGCAGCGGCAGCCGCCGCCGCCCCGCCCCGCCCCCGGTAAACACGGCCGCGCCGGTTCTGTCAATGGGAGGCGCCGCCCCCCCCGGCCCATTGGGCGCGGGGCGGGGGGGAATTTCCCCCGCTGCCAATGGGCGACCACCGGAGAAGGGTTGCTGGAGAGAACGGCACCGAGGCGCGCCCCGTTACCCGCACCCTGGGGGGGGGGGGGGCACTCCCCAGCGACCTCCCAGCACGAGCATCCTGTGCCCATGGTTCACCCCACAGCTTCCAGCACCGGGATCCCGCTTCCCTCCTGGGTACCCCAACCCCCCTCCCGCTCCCCCTCCCCGTGCCCCATAGACACAAGGGATCGTTCAGGTTGGAAATGCCCTCTAAGGTCCCCAAGACCAACCCCAGCCCACCACACCTCAGTGCCACACCTCCATTCTTGAACACCCCAGGGACGGTGACCCTCCCCGTGCCTGTGCCATGAACTGCCTTTATTTTCTGCCGATGGAAGCCCTGCATGCGGCGCAGCACCTCGCCACGACGCGGACATCGGTCCCCCTGGGTGCTGCTCCGAGCACTGCAGCGCTCCCTCCCGCCCCGATCTCTCCAACCCCACGACCCCTGGTGTCGTTCCGCAGCCGTGCTCGCATTCCTCCATCACTCGGACCGGTCCGTCCCCGCGGGGCTGAATTCACAACACCGGGCGTCACCAAACCGCGAGCACAATCCGTAACGCTACGCGTACGGACCACATTCGCGTCCCCGGGACTCTGCTCTGTAATTTATTTCTCCCTCACGGCCGCAGCCCCGCATCCCTCACTCCCGTCCCGTCACGGATCCGCGCCGTTCCCCCGCATCCGCCCGCCCCGCTCAGCGCCAATGGCGGAGCGCAGCCGCGCTGTTGCCCCGGAGACCGCGGGCTGCCCGGCGGGGGCGGCTCCCATTGGCTGATGCCGCGGGGCGCGCTCCCATTGGCTGCCCGCCGCCGGTTGCCGTGGCGACAGAGGAACGAGCGCGGCTCGGCCGGCCGGAGGCGGCACGGCGCCGGGTCCGCGGTCCGCAACTGGACGGGTGTGGGACACGTGGGGCTGCGGGGATGGATGCGAAGGGCCCGAGCGCTGTGCTGGAGCTGAAGGGAAGAGTAAGTGCTGTGTTCCCGAGGGGTCTGCGGGGTTTGGAGCGCCGTGGCTGCAACCGGTCGCTGTCAGATGGGTGCTGGTGGTGGCGAAGGGAGCTGAGGGGACCGCGGGGTGAGGGCAGCCAGAAGGGCAGGCCGGGCCGAGGAGGACTTTCTGACTCCTAATCCGTTGTGTGTGGTGGTATGTTGAGTTTAGGTTGGCAGCACGTGGCAGAAGGCAACAGCAGAGAGGAAACTTCCAGCCCACGAGTTGGCTTTGCCACCGATCGCCGACGGAGGCAAGAAGAAAGGGCAGAAGAACAAGTCAGGTTGGGAGAGATTTCCCTTTATCCGCTGCCTTTCTGCCACTGCCACCCCCCGGGGCCAAGTTTGCATTCGCTCTGTGCTTTCTGCTGGGAGACATTCGTCAAAAGGCACGAAAAGTGGCTGAGGATGAAGAGGGGGGACTGGAAAAGAGCAGGACGGGCTCTGTGGGCTTTGCTGCTGGGCTGAGAGTGTGAGCTGCTTCTCTGGGGCTGCAGAAGGTTTGAAATCAGCCTTTCAGCCGATCTTATTTCCCTCAGCCACACATAACAGGAGGGGGTGGGCGTGAGATGGGTGTGAGATGTGTAAACACACACAGGGCTTTTTGGTTGTTTCAGCAGCTGTGTTTGTGTCGAGGAAAACAACCCCCTTGGTGTTGAAGGCATCATCTCAAGAGAAGTACAGAGCATTTACTGAGAAGAAAGCGGTGCTCAAGGAGGCTGAGTTAGCTGGAATGTTGGAAGAGATGAAAATGACCGTGGTACATGTAACAAATATCTGGGGCTGGAATGTGGGGAGCCAATCCATACAGTTACCCAGGTTGCTTTTATGGAGGAAATTCTAGCAGTCTGACTCACTGTGGCAAAATGGCACGTATTTATTTATTAATACACTGGAGGTAATCACGCTGCTCTTCTTGATGCTGCTGTAATCTAACCTTGATGTTTGTTAAGGAAAACTGAAGATAAACCCAGAGAGCCCAGGCTATAGCAGTGGAAGGGATGAGGCTTAGGAAATGTGACCTGTTAGAAAAGACTGATGGTGCCAGAATTTCTTAGTCTAGCAAAGAGAAGGTTGAGGTGGAGGGCACAGCTGCAGTCTTTTAGTAGGTAAAAGGTGGTTATTGATCATCACACAGCAGGTAATAAGCAATGTGGAAGCAGGACTGGGCTGGGTGGCAGAAGTCAGTGCCTTGGCAATGAGGCTGAGGCTTGCTGCATGGTGCCCAGCTGGTCAGGGCCTTACATGGGATAGGAGTGTCCTAGGGGTGACAGGTGATAGTGAGCAAACTTGGCACTGATGGAATCTGCCTCCATTAATCCACAACCTCCTATAGCACCTGACCAAGCTGAAGACAAAAGCCATAGAGGAGCTGAAGCAGTGCAGTGACCACCTGGCAAAGACCAACTGCTGGCTGATGAAGGACATCCAGCACACTGATGATAGCACTGCCAAGCAAGCCAGAGACTTGCTACATCAGTATGAAGTGTATCAGGTGAGGTTTTAGAGTTGGCCAACAGCCCTAGTTCAGCAGAACATGAAATGTGCCACTGCTTCTGTTAGTACTAAAGAATGGCCAGGCTCTGCATGGTTAGTTCCACTGACTGGAGCATCCCCAGAGCTAGGGGGAGCTCTCTGATGCCCAAAGATTCTGTGAGATGCTCCTGTTTTGTGCCTGTGTTTTAAAGCCACAAGAGCTTCCCGATGGGTTACTGTCCCAAGCAAAAGTAGTCAGCCCTCTAACAGCCCAAATACATCCTTCTGTGGGAAAAGGTGATTCCTGGAAGCCCCAGGACAATCCCCAGTGCAGGTCCTGTGCACAAGCTGGCACTAACCACAGTGGCAGATTCATCTGTGCTGCTAGAACAAGCAATAGCATGAGAGGAACAATAGGGATGCTGCATGGGGACATTGCATAGTTCTGGGGAATGATCAGTGTCCGGATTTCTCTGTGCAGATGATCGAGGCAATGACACAGACCATCAGTCAGAACCAGCTGGATATGGCAAGGGCAGAGCTTCAGGAAATGGAAAAAACAATGGAAAAGAATCTGGGAAGTGAGTTGCTCTCATTACTATGAAATATGGTTTATGTAAGCATGTTACATTTGCTTTCCATCTTGGTAGGGCCTAAGACACTGCACTGATGTTATGAATGTCAAACGGTTCACTTCCTGAAAATGAATCTTCCAGTTGCTGTGTGGGGGTAATGTTCCTGTCAGGAGGGGCAGAGCTCTGTGGCACCCATCAGCCTGTGTATAAGGGGGTGGGGAGAGTCACCTCCTTGGCAGCTGTTTGCACCATTCCACTGGGGCAGGATCTGGTCAAGGTGCTCTGATTTGGAGTGGCCATTCACTCCCTGTGCTCACATAGTATGCAATCTCTCTAATCCAGATTACTTCCCACACGGTGTGTCATCTGGCTCAGGTGTATGCAGGACAGCCTCTGGAACCCCTGAAATGACATTCTCTGCTTTGACTTTCAATTAGAGCTACAGCAGCAACTGGATGAAGTCACATCAAAAGTACAGGTTCTCCAGGATGAGCTCAGCATCCTTCGGACCTTCACAGATCTAAACCAAGCTATGCAGATCGTCCTCCTGCTGTCCAACATCCAAAACCTGAAGAAGCAACAGCAGGTGCTGAGACCTCTCCTCCCCTGCAGCATCACTAAGGAGGCAGGAGAGGGCAGGGGTGGAAGGAATGCAATGCTTGTTTTAATTAATGCTCTTGTTGTTTCTGTGCACTGCCTCCTGCCACTCTCAGGATGAGATAGATGAGACAGAAAAAATGGGAAAGGCCATTCTGGAGGAACTGGAAGAAAAATCACAGCTAGAACAAGAAGAGATATTACAGAAAGTTGCGGAGGTTTGTGGAATTCATGTGATATCTTGGCAGAGGGGATCAGTTTGTGGGTGCTGTGAGACCAGTCAGGGGTTTCTAGATGTTGCCCATCAGCAATAGCACATTAGCTGGCACACAAAGAACAACAAAGCATTGCTGCTCTGCTCCAAACTGGAGCTGTCTGTCAGCTGGGAGTGTCCATGACAAGCCACTCTAATGTGATGAAATATTCTCAGGCTTGTTCCTGAGAGTTTGCCATGTGATCCAACGTTCACCCTGCTTTATTACATTACTTAAGCAGCTGCCTAGCTGCTTGGAGGGGACACTGCTGAGGAAACTTACCTCAGAACAGGAAGAGCTCCTTTTGTACAGTTTCTGCTTGCATGGTATGCTTAGCACTATTTCTGGGTTAGCTGCTTGAGAGCACTGAGAAAATGCCAATCACTGAGTCCTTTTTCAGCTTGCTCTGATGCAGGACTGCTGTCTGCTTTTACAGGTGAATTTGTAAGCATGGATGATACAAGTAACCCAAGCAATATTAATAAGCTTTCCCTGGGAAGCTGAACCAGATTTCTTGAGTTCTTTCTTTGGTCACTTCTCATCTCACTTCTAGGCTTCCTTTTGTCCATCCTGTAAGTGGTGATAATTACTGACTGCAGGAACAGGCAGGAGGAACAGCAAAGGTTTTCAAGGCCCTTGTGACTACATCAGTTCTTGTTCTATGGTCATCCCAATGGGATCTCTTTGTGGACCTGGAACCAAAACCTTATTCAAGCAGGAATTATTTCCTTGAAGAATAATGCATCTAAATGCAGCCAGCTTTGGCATCTGACCGTGGCAGGCTCTCATGCTGTAGTTACTGTGAGTTTCTTCTCTTCACCCACACAGGAGGTGTTGCTGCACCAGGATGGGCTGAAGCAGATGGTCATCAACAATCACATTCTTCGACATGAAATAAGAAGACAAAAAGAGGTGAGTGAATTGGGGAAGAGCCAGCACAGTAAGGCAGAGCCAGCCACCCTCAGCTCCTTGCTCTTTATGAGGGCTTTGTGTGCCCTGGTGGAATCTGTTGCTTTCTGCTTCCACTGGAGCCAGGGGGCTGTTAGACTTCCTGCAATGCCTGCTGGACTGCTCACCCTCAGGATGTCCTCGTAAGGAACTCACTTGCATGAGGGATGTTTTCTAGCTCTGCTGTTTGTAAAATCTCTAGAACTTTAATTACTGCTTCTATTGTAAAATAAAGAACTCTTAAAAATGTAATTCATTCAGATTATTAAAGACCTGGAAGAGGAGATCAGCGAGCTGAAAAGAAGCGTCCAGACACTCCGCCAAAGTGCAAGAGACCCAAGAGAGATGATCTTTGCTGATGTTTTTCTCCACAGACCAAAGTAAGCCAGTGAATTCCCAGAGAAGTAAGGCTGGTCGATGGGCAGGCACATGCCTTTCTCTGTGGCCTTGGGTAGGAAGAGTCTGGTGTTGAGCCTTAGTGCAACTGCCACAGATCCCACTGTCAAACCTACGTGCAGTCTGGGATATAAACTCACAGCTTACTGTTGTCCTGCTGGGACAGATTGCTGCCAGGTCTCATGGCTTGCCTAACAGCAGCTAGGAAGCAGCCAAAATAACAGCAGTGTGCTGTCAGCTTTGGTCGCTTCTCATCTCATTTCTAAGCTTCCTTTTGTCCATCCTGTAAGTGGTGATAATTACTGACTGCAGGAACAGGCAGGAGAAGCAGCAAAGCTTTTCAAGGCCCTCGTGAACTCCATCAATTCTTACTTTATTGTTCTTTTCTCTCTGTGTTTGGGAAGCAAAACTAAAAGGAGGTGGCCAAGCTCCTGCGGAGGGCAGGACTTACCCATCTCAAGCCACTTTGCTGGTTGTGTGAAATGGCACAAGCAGTCTGTGGGAACAAAGATGGGCAGCCATTTCTCTAATATGTTAAAAAAAAAAAAAAAAAAAAAAAAAGTCTGAGGCATTCATTGGCAGCAAAAAAGCAAGACTTTGTTGTCTTTCCCAGCGCTCTTTCCCTGCCCTCGTTCATTGGTAGCTGATTACTTGCAGAACGGAGGCTGTGGTTAATCTCCACTCCCTCCTACCAGTGTGCACAGTGTTTATGCTGGATATTAAAGTTATGAAGGGCAAGGAGAATCCTTGCTGTTTGTTGATGGGGAGAAGGCTCTGCCAGACGGCTCACGGGACCATGGGGCTATCCTCTCCAGGGCTGATGGACAGGCTGGCCAAGTCTGTAGGCTGAGGTAAACCAGCAGCCTGCTGTGACAAGTTATTTTCCACCATAGCCATGGTAGGAGCCCATCCCAGCAAACAGAAGCTGGAGGCCTGATGCTGCACCTTGTCCTGCAGTGGGTCCTGCCCAGAGCACAGATGATTTAGAGCAGCTGAGTGCCTCAGCTTTCTATGCTGTCAGCTGATCAGGGTTATAAACTTGACCAAAAATTGGTCAAATATGTTTAAGTCTCGACTGTGACATAGCCTGAAACCTGCAGCTGTGTGCAACACTTCGTGCATGCCTATGTTTATTTGCAGCAGCTATACACACTGCTCTCAGCACAGAGATGCCTGTTAAGGGAGGCTTTCCTCTCCAGTGGGGCTGGACCTCCTGTGTTGGGTTCTAACAGTAAGCCAGGTATGGCTGCAGAGGGGTGATGTGAAGCAGGAGGAAAGCCTGGAACGTGTCAGGAGGCTGTGGGAGAGGCGAGTGGCTGCATGATGGATGTGCTATTGCTAATGGACAACTTCCATTTTTTTTTTTTTTCCGATAAAAGAATGATTAAAAAAAAAAAAAAGGAATTTTGTTAGGCTCGGCAGCTGGTGGGGCTGGGGTTACTGAGGGTGGCTGGGAGAAAAGTTAAAAATAGCAGGAAGGCCCAAGTGGAAAGTTTGTGTAATATCACAAGTCAGGCATTCGGTGCTTACCCGCCCTGACAGGCAGCACTCCGTGCCAGAGCCTCTCCGCCATCTCTGCTGATTCCCACTGACCTCCCTGCAACTTTTCACACGACTCCACCAGCCATCCGTGTTTCCAATTAACCCTTTGGTTCCAGGCTTTGCTTCTTGAAAGAGTAAAGTCGGGCGTAAGCTGCGCTTAGCCTGGAAGTGCAAAGGCACCCAGCAATGCTGGCTCTCCTTGGGTTTCCTGCATGCTGCTGGCAGCTCCCGTGAAGCCCTGAGGAGCTGTAAGCCCCCACTCATGTCTGCATTTCAGTCTTCCCTCTTTAAAAACCCCCATCCTTCAAGGAAACCCAGGTGGGTTTTGCTAGCAGCTTGGAGTCCTGCACTGGAGGCACTCTTGGCACAGTTTGTCCTGGCCTGATGCACAGATGAGCACACCTCTGAGCAAGCCCAGCTTGCTGTGTTTGTCCTTTCTGTGTGAGAAAGCAGATGTAACCGGCTGCTCTGATGTGCTTTCTCTGCTTTTGTTTGTCTTTTGGGATTGACAGAGGGGCAGCTGATTTTGTTCTTCTCCCTCGGAGTCCCTCAGCCTGGATAAGGTTTGCTGGGCAGTTGTGCTGCACTCTGCTTCATGCTGAGCGAGGGCTGTGCCCCAGAACCCCACCTCTGCTTTTATAGGGCTTTTGTCCACTGCTCCCTCAGCACAGCCGCCTTTCCTGCTCTTTCCTTTGTTCCTCGCACCTCCTCTCTCTGCTCAGGTGCACACCAGACACCGAGGTGGTCCTCCACATCCCCACGGAGGAGAATCCGCTCCCCTGGTGCCCGCAGCGCTCAGACGAGATGCTGACCAACACAGCCCTCCCTTCCCCAGCAGCACTCCTTCCTCCCGGCCCCACTCAGCCTCTGTGAGGACTCAGTTATAAGCGGCAGGAGGGTCTTCGTGATACAGCCGTGCTGTGTTGTAAGAAGCACGATGTAAGAAGCCCCTTGATATCGGCCCTCTGTGCCACCTGACCTCACATCCGCGGCTGCACCAGAGGGGCTGCAGCCAAAGGCAAACCGGGACTCTCCGTTGCGGTGCCCCAGGGGTGTCCCAGTGCCGGCCCCGACGCCCCGAGGTGAGCACATCCCACTGCGGACCGGGCTGCCGTCCCAGACCGGAATCTTTGTGGGACAGAGCACGCACGCAGGTTCAAATAAAAACAGCCCTATTCAAAACTCTTCTCTGCCCCGCGCTGTCCGTTACCGGCTCTGGAGCCGGCGCTGCCAAACAGGGGCATCGCAGCCCCGCAGATCCCAGCCCCGCCGCTCCTCCGGGCAGCACCGGCACGGCACGGCTCGGACGGCTCGGCACGGCTCGCTCCTTACTTGGCGAAGCGGCGGAGCCGCGCTGTGTCCCGGCGCGCCGTGGAGCCGGGCGGGGCCGGGAGGGGGGCGCGGGGGTCCGACCCACACGGACTGGAGCGCGGCTGAAGACCCCCGAGCCGCCCCAGCGCTGCTTCAGCGACGGCACCCCGGGACGGGACGGAAGCGGGCTCCCGGGGGCGGGAGAGCCCGGAGGGGTGGGGGTGAAATCTCGCCGAGCCCCGGTACTGGGGACACCGGGAGCCCCGCGGGAGCCTCGGGGACCGGACGGAGCCCCGGGGGTGCGCGGAGCCGGGCGGCGGGGGCCGCTGCGGGCGGGCGGGGGGGATCGGGCAGCGGCGCGGGAGGGACGGGCAGCGGCGGGGGGCTCCACCTCCCGGGCTTTAAAGCCTCGCAGCTCCGGGGCTGGGCGGCGGACATCAGCCCGGCCCGGGGGAAGTTTCAGCCGCTCGGAAAGGGACCGGTGGGGCCGTGCTGCTGGCCTCGGGGCTGCACGACCGGGGGGCTGCAGGGAACCGCGTCCCATCGGGGCCGCCTCTCCGAGCCCCGCCGTCAGCCGAGCCCCAGATGACCCTGAACACGCAGCCCGGGAACAAGAGCCCGCTGCGGAGGAGGGCCAGCACCCCTCTGCCGCGGGTACCGGGTGCCGCGCCGCGGGCTGAGCTCGGCCACCCCCAGCTCGGGCAGTCCTCGTCCGAACCGGGTGCCAGAGCCGCAGCGCCGCGGGGCAGTTGGTCCTCCGAGTCTTCGGCCTCCTCCAGCTGCTGGGAGCACCGCGTGGTGCTGCTGGGAGACCCCGGCGTGGGCAAGACCAGCCTGGCCAATGCCTTCGCTGGCATCCAGGAGCGGGACCTGCTGGAGCAGCACGGAGGTGGGTGCTGGTGAGGGGCAGGGGCTTTCTGCAGCAGTGTCACCCCCTGCGGGGCCGGGAGGAGGTAGTGGGGTGTGTTCAGGTGCAGCACGCACCCCGTGCTTGGACAGAGTCATAAGCAATGCAGAAAGGAGCATGTTGGGGTGAGGGGACCACCGGTGGGTCTCGGCTGCACCAACTGAGCAATCCTGGTGTCTTGCAGAAGCTGCCTACGAACGCACACTGTTGGTGGATGGCGAGGAGACCACGCTGCTGGTGTTGGACACCTGGGAGCCAGAACGGAGGGTACATGGGGCTGTGAACCCGGGCTGGGTGCTGCATGAGCCCCAGCTGCTGGCAGGGCTGGGGGTGCTGAGGAATGATGAATGCCGAGGTCAGACCTCTGGCCTGGGGCAGCCTCTCCAACATTCTTTGCTTGCTGTGCTGAAGGCTGAGAGGTGCATGTCCTCAGCCTCTCTGATGGGGCTCCCACAGCAAGGACCTGTCAATGTAGGAGTAGCCTTGCATGGCAGGAACTGTGTGGGTGTCCCTCACCCCATGTAGATGTCCCTTGCAAAGGGGGACAAAGGGGCTGCAGGAGAGAGCATAATGTGAGCTAATGGTTTGGGAGTGGGTCTAAAAGGAGCAAATCCACGTGAGGCAGTGCTGGCAGCCAGGGCACGTGCTCTCAGCAGAGCTGTGGCCCCAAGAGCTTGGCATGGGGCACTCCCTCTGCCCCATGCAGTGAAGGCTTCTTTCTGCCAGAAATCCCAGTGCAGCATCGCTGCCTCCCTTTCCCTGTGCTGCCTTTCCCCATGGCTGTGCTGGGGTTCCATGAGTGTCACGATGGGTCCCTGGGAACAAGGACGGAGCTGGCACCCAGGCACAGCAACACTATGGGCTGGGGCTGCATTTTGTGCAAATGCCCATGCTGTCCAGAGGTGCTGCAGCACTGCATTGCCCTGAGAACAGCCCTTTATTTCCACAGTTGCTTAATCCCACTTTGCCCAGATGGAAGCATTGTGTGGCTCACAATGCTGTGCCCACCATGCTGGCATTGTGTGGCTGAAAGCAGCTTTGGGAGTGGTTCTGTCCCCGAGCTGAGCCCTAATTTGTTGCTAATAGAGGAGGGAAATGAAATGTACCCCAGAACCAGGAGCTGTGTTTTACTGATGGAGCCATGCATGTGCTGCCTACAGTGCGGGTGCTGCTGGGGCACGCTGGCAGATCCCCAGCACTGTGCCAGGTCAAACCCAGGAGCACCTGGGGATGCCACCAGCCCTTGCAGTGCACTGATGTGACATTTCCCATGTGCTGGCAGGGTGAGGAGAGCTGGCGCTGCAGCCAGTGCCTGCAGGTGGGCAATGCCTATGTCATCGTCTACTCCATCACGGACCGCAGCAGCTTTGAGAGCGCCTCGGAGCTGCGTATCCATCTGCGCCGCGCGCGGCAGGCTGAGGACATCCCCATTATCCTAGTGGGGAACAAATCCGACCTGGTGCGCTGCCGCGAGGTCTCCATCGAAGGTGAGCATGTCCATGTCTGTCCCCAAGTCCCACACTTTGGCTCCTGCTACATCCCTCGGTACAGAGGGTGCCAGCAGGGCCATACCTCCTTCCTGTATCCCCCCCCCCCTCCTTGCAGAGGGCCGTGCCTGTGCCGTGGTTTTTGACTGCAAGTTCATCGAGACGTCGGCAGCCCTGCAGCACAACGTGGATGAGCTCTTTGAGGGGGTGGTGCGGCAGCTGCGCCTGCGCCGTGAGGGCAAAGAGCCTGCATCCAGCCACCGGCGCAAGGAGAGCCTCACCAAGAGGGCCCGGCGCTTCCTTGACAGGCTGGTGGCCAGGAACAGCAGCAAGGTAGCCCTCAAAGCCCGCTCCAAGTCATGCCATGACCTGTCCGTGCTCTGAGAGCCGCCACGAGCCCATCCTACTGGACTTGGAGGCTGGGGACTGCCTTCTGCCATCAGCATGGCCAGCAGCAGCGTGGTGCCAGCTAAGCACAAATGGGACTGGTGCGATGCTGAGGACGTGGAGCTGCTGAGGGACACCCAGGGTACTCCAGGTCTAGCTGCTTCTCCTCTGGAAGGGGGGATGAATGGGGCTGGGTCCCCTCAGCTGCATGTGTGGGGTGGGTATCAGGGTGGCTGCCCAGCTCCTGAGGGGCTGGAGGTGAGGCTGCGGCCCTGCAGGGCTGCCAGCAGTGAGGCTGGTGCTGCTTGTGGCTCCCATCCTTCACAGAGCAGCAGGGAGCAGCGAGTGCCCACCTCGAGGACAGGAGCCTGGCAGGGAAAGGGGCTGGGGGAGCTCTGGCAACATCATCTGGCACCCCCAGCCCCTCCATGCCAGAGCTTCATGCCACGTCTCCCTGGAACCTGTGTTGCCTGAGGTTTTTCTGCTGTCTCTGTACCAGTTCAATGGGGAGATCCCTCGATCTGCAGAATAAACCACGTCTGGGACATGTTGGTCTCTGCCAGGTCCCTTGGCTGGTGCAGAGGTTCTGCTGCAGCCAGATTGCATGAGCTTCAGCTTCATCAGCCTGAACACCCCAGAGCAGGAGCAGCCTTAGCCTCTAGCCATGTTTCTTTAGCCACCCTTGGCTGAAGCATCACTTCCTTACTCAGCAGTCACAGCATCATCCCCTGCAATGGCAGAAGCCCTCTGCACCTCTTTCTTCCCAGAAAGTCCTAAGAGAAGGGCTCGGCACCAACTCCAGTTGCTATGGTGCAGATTTAAAGCCTCCGTGCAGCATTTGGGACCCCCTTGGGAGACACGGCCTGGGTCAGGAGCCAGTCCCTGGGTGCCCTGGGAAGGGGCAGCGGCAACAGGAAAGGACGTGCCGGGCTGCAGCAAGCAGCAAGTGACCCCAAGCAAACAGGAAGGTGACACTGGGGCTGCGTGGGCTCTGTCTGTTGTTTTTAGGCTGCACTGCTGGCGAGTGGCTGGGATGTGGCAGGGGAGCCTGCTCAGCAGGCCTGGGCCCCGTGCCAGGGAGGCTCCACGGTGCCCTCCTGCCCTGCAAGGTCGGGAGTTTCCATTTGCTCTGCATCCCAAGCATGGGGAGCCACCAGCAGCCAGCATCGTGCAGCCAAGAAGGGCCCAAGGGGATGTTTTCCCATCTCTGTTGAAAGCTGGGCTCTTCTGCATCACTCAGCACTCCCGAACCTGTCGGTGTTTGCAGAATTGCTGCTCTTTCCTTGTTGCTGCTTTGGCTCCGGGTGCTGCTCCGTGCCCCAGTTCCTGATGCTGCTGGATGTGATGCTGCAAGTCTGTCCTGCAGCTGTGGCCAATGCTTCCCTGCGGCGGGAGGCGGGGGGGGTGGGGGGAAGAGACAGCGGGATGGAAAGTTGGCAGCCAGCAGCGAGGGGAGTGGAAAGAATGAGCTCAAACCCAGAAAAATGCGGCCGTGGTGGAGGGTGGGAGGAGAGGCCGGGGGGGCTGCAGCAAGGCGCTGGGAAAGGGAAGGACAGAAGGAGGAGGTGCTGTTGGGGGACAGGAGCTGACTGTGGCCCCCAGCTGGGGACTCACCTGGGCCAGGTAGAGCCGGGGCTTGGCAGCACTAAGAAGTGCTCTTGGGATTGCCATATCCCAGCACCATCCATCCCTGCACAGCCACTGTCCCCACTTGGAGTGGGCCAAGTTAAGGCTGGTTCACTGCTCTGCAGAGCATCTTCTCATGGGGAGCAGCCAAGAAAAGCGCAGGGGAGGAGGGCGGCCACTTCCCTGCACCACACAGCAGGTCCTGCCCTCAGGCCCCACTGGGAAGTCCCTCCGCCTTCCCAGCCAGAGCTGCAGGAAAGACCCACGGCCACTGGCTGGGGAGCAGTCCCTTGGATGAACCCCACTATAGCTCTGAGAGCCCGGCCCAGTGCCAGAGTAAGGGCACCCAGTGGGGAGCTGGGGATCCTCAGTGGAACCTCACACCCACCGGGCCGCTTTGGAGAAGGGCTGTAAAGGTCTTTTGAAGGTTTTTTTGATAAAAGACTCAGCAGCAGAATACGCAAGAGTGTTAGCATTTCTGCTGCTATTTTGGGTGCTGGTCTAACAGCACGTGCTAGAAGGACAGAAGTGGATTGCAACCCTGTGGCCTTCATTCTGGGCTCTCCCTACGCTTGCAGCCTGCCCTGAGAGCACAAGCAGAGGTTTTCCTGCAAAAAGGAACATGCAGAAGGTTTGGCAGCCTGTTCACAGGGCACAGGTCTGCGAGAAACAGGACTCGGAGAAACACCAGTGCATGTGGGCAGTGATTTGGGGGTGAGTGGGCACCCGGACACATCATTTTAGGCTGGCCTATGGTCACCTGGGCTCTGGCTGTCCTCGCTGTGCCATGCCGTAGGATGAGATGCTGCATGCTGCCAACCTCACTGCCTGTCCCTTTTCTTTGTGGGAGGACTGGTGACACCATAAGGACAGTGTCCAGGCAGGAGGCCAGCCCCAGAGAAAGGCACATCGACACTCCCGTGAGGGCTTTTCATCCACCCTCTGCATAGAATACGAAACTATGAATCACCTCAGGTCCTGAAATAGATTTATTTATTTCGTTATTTATTTTAAGGAAGGGAAAAATATTGGGGGGAAAAAAAAGAAAAAAGAATGTAACACATGCCTTTTGTCCCTGCTGTGCTCTGCTCCCCACCCATGGTTCAGCTCTGGGCCAGTCCCCAGAGCCAGCGGAGGTGCTGGAGCCCTCACTGCCACCCGTGAACCCCAAACCAGACCCTGGGGAGGGGACGTGGTGGGACCACATTGGCATCAGGAAGGCTGGGATACACCACAGGTTCAGGAGGCTGATTTCACCCCATAACAATGTGCAGTGCTGGTTTACACTGAGTGAATCCTTCTTTTCCACAACAGGACAGAAGAGATTTCCCTGCTGGCAGCAGAGGATCTCCTCCTGCTGAAAGGCAGGGGCAGCTCCTGCTGACCCCTGCTGAATCACGACTCTTTGCTTTCTGCGCTTTGCTGCTAGATGGAAAGGATGCAGAAAGCCCCATATTTAGCAGGCCTGTGCCTCAGATCAAGCAGCTGCCAAGCCAGGGCTGTGGTGATGGGTGTGGGCAGCACCAGGGACTGTGGGACATCCCAGCCATGGAGAGGAGGACATGATGGCACTGAGGAGGAGAAGGTGGCTTGGTGACATGGCCAGGCTGCCAGCAGCTCAGAGGGAGGGAATATTCACAAGGAAAACATACATTTTGGCCAGTTTTCCATCCGAGCTCTGGCCCTTGTCCAGCAGCACAAGAAGTTTGCTTTCACTGATGAGGCATTTCTGTAAGAAAGATTTTTGCTGAGCACAGCTACAGGTGGGTTGAGAGTGTGCAGGGGACAGTGCATCAGGGCAGAGCACACAACCAGCCCCGGGCTGGAGGAGAAGCTTGGGACTCCCAGACCTGGCTCACACATGGTAAGGGCTCAGCTCTGTCCTGCATCCCATCCTCTGTCTCCCTTCAAAAAATGCTGTCCATACTTAGGCAGCCACCGCCGTGTTCCCCTCTCAGGCAGAATGTCAGCACAGATCCTCGCAGTGGGGTAAACATGTCCGAGCTGACACAGCGCAGTGTCCCAGCACTGCAATCCGTCAGCGGGACCAACCTCGTGCCAGGGGATCGGCAGCCATTGGGTATCCCGAGTTGGAAGGGATCCACAAGGGATCCCGAGTTGGAAGGGATCGGATCGAAATCTTCCATCCCGCCAACCTCAGGGCGATCCGCTCCTCCTGAAGGAGGGCGCTGGGATCCCCCAGAGCCCGTAGCACAAAACCACTTCCCCTTCCTCTCCATCCCTTCAGCCCGCAGTGCTCTTTCACAGCCTCCCCAAGCAGGAGGCAAACCCTCTGCCTGCACCGCAGCCCCTGCCATGCTGCCCTGGGGACAGCTGCTGGGGGACACAGCGTGATGTCCTTCCACTGCACTGAGGAGAAGGGGGGGGGGTTGGCTTTCACAGAATCACAGAATGGCCAGGGTTGGAAAGGACCTCAAGGATGATGAATCTCCAACCCCCTGCCACGTGCAGAGCCACCAGCCTCCTTATTTAATGCTAGACCAGGCTGCCCAGGGCCCCATCCAACCTGGCCTTGAACACCTCCAGGGACGGGGCATCCACAGCCTCTCTGGGCAGCTGTTCCAGCACCTCACCACTCTCTCTGTAAAGAATGACGTCCAACCTAAATCTTCCCTCCTTCTACTTAAAACCATTTCCCCTCATCCTGCAGTTATCAACCCTTTCAAAGAGTTGATTCCCCTCCTGTCTGTAGGCTCCC